CGGTAAGCTTTGATCACAGTCGTCAAGTTCAACTATTTCTTTCTCTTGACCGTCTGTGTCAAGCGTTGGTTTGATGTCCGAGAGGTAACACTCTCTCGCCATCTTTTGGTCCCCACTCAAGGAACCGACTGTGCCATCATCCCTTTCAAACTTAATCAACATTAGAGATGGGATGATGACTGCCTTTGAGATGTTAAGGGTTGGGCGGCCAATAATCAAATTGTAGGCAGTTAGCTCTCCTACAACAAGAAACTTGACAACCATGTGCCGGCCCTTCCCCATTTCTCCGAACCGGATGGGTAGATCTATCATGCCCACCGGATGTACTACTCCTCCCCCAAAACCTACAAGAGGATATGAGGCCGGATGCATGCTACTGGTCTTATACTTGAGTTTTTCCAAGCACCGGTAGCTGATGAGGTCGGATGAGCTCCCGGTATCAATCAAGATCCGGCCAACTCTTTGATTGGCGATTTTGCACTCGATGACTATTGGGTCATCATGAGGCCGCCTGACCTCTCCTCTATCTTTCTCGGAGATGTTAACTTCCGGAAATGAATATTCAAATGACTTTTCCTCATCCACTGAGTTGACCAGTTTCCGAATGTTATCTTTTGTGCCCCGAATGGTAGGCCCACCTCCTGCAAATCCACCGGCTATGGTCAGGATGGTATCCTCATCCGTATCCGATTGAGTAGCCGGCGTCTTTGGGGGTGGTCCTTTTACTTGCTTGGGAGCACCCTTCGATTTGGATAGGTATGATTTGAGAGCTCCTTTGTCAGCCAGCCGGTCAAAGAGCCGCCTGAGGCTAAAGCACCCCTCAGTGTCATGGCCAATTTCCTCATGGAAAAGGCAATATTTACTCTTATCCCGGGCGCTTAGGGGACTCTTCATAGGAGCCGGTTTTTCAAGATTCAACCGGTCCTTTACTTCGTTGAGAATGGAGGCACAATCCTTGTTGAATTCGTACTTGGGCACATACGGATCCGGCCACTTTCTTTTCTGGAAAGGTTGTCCGGATGAGTCTGCCGCCCATACCCCCTTTCTCTTGTCTTCCTTTTTGGCCGACTGGGTAGGCCGATTCTCTTTTTTATCGGATCTTTTGTAATCCGTTGGGAGTTTCACAGCACACAATTCCATTGCCTGAATGTAGGCCTCCGCCTTCATGAGCGCCTCGTGAAGAGTAGAGACCCTCTTCCTAACCAAGTCAAACTTAAAAGTTGATCGTCTTTTAAGCCTTTGAAGAAATCAGTATAGGCAACGTCATCAGACAATCCATGGATTTGGATTCTCATTAGGTTAAACCGCCTGACATATGACCGGAGCCCCTCTTTGTCTCCCTGCTGGATTGCCCCTAGATCAAGGCTTGTTTTCTTGGCAGGGATGTTCATAGAAAAGTTGGACGTAAACCAGTAGGCCAAGGTCCTGAAATTATTGATGCATCCGGCTGGGAGGTTACCAAACCAACGTTGAGCAATCCCTTTCAACGTTGTCGGGAAGCACCGGCACCATGAGGCGTCATCCAAACCCTGCAAATACATCAGGTTGGTGTATGCCATGAGGTGATCTTCCGGGTTGGTGGTACCGTCATAGGCGCCTACCAACACGTTTTTGATTTTAGCCGGTTGGGTCATCTCGGTGATTTCCCTGGAAAACGCCGTTGGCTGTTCCCCAAGGTTGAGCAGCCGGAGCTGCCAGTCCATAGGCTGGACGGGCGGCTGATGTTGCCCCCCGAAAAGACCCGCCTGTGCATAGAGGGATCCAAAGGGCGTGTATGGTGTTCCATGCAATGCCGGTTGGATCATATGAGGGCCGGATCGAGCGGAAACCTCACTCGTCCAGCTGTCATTGTTTGTTCTCGAGTGCCTCCCTGATGTGGCATTGAAGCTGTCTCGAAAGGTCGATGTTGATGCCGACTCAGATCGCTGAGTCTTTTTATCTTGGATGAGCGTCCGGGCATCAGAATAGACTTTCTTTGTTCCATCCGGCTGAATGTGCCAGACGGGCTTTCTGACTCCATCTATGGGAGTGTGTATCTTTGAGAAATCAAAGGGCCTAGCCGGCATATTTGACTTCGGATGCGGGGTAGACGCTCTACCCTTGGCTGTTTTGGCAGTCTTTTTACCGAGACGCCTTTCTTCCGCCTGACCCTTACGGGGGCCGGCTGTATTGTCCAGAAGGCCTTTGATCTCTCCTTTGAAGCTCATCATCATATTCATGAGTTCATCTCTGGAGACTGGGGTGGCTCCCTCTGAAGCAGGAGTCAACCCAAGCGGTCCCCTGGTAGGATGATTTGGGTATGCTTGCTGCTCTGCCCATTCCCTCTTGTTTTTGGAACGAGTATGCTTGGTTCTGAAGGAACCATCGGCTGCTGTGTAAGTTTCAATCTCATGATTGTCGGCTGTGTCTTGGTCCGAGTGGACCTCAACCTCACTAGCAGGTTGACCACTTTTACCCGGCTGTACCGGTTCTGAAGTCATCTAGAAAGTACTCTCCCCACAGACGGTGCCAAATGTTTGAGGGTTTTTTATGTGTCCTACGGGAGAGTTACAATTTCCTAGAATGCTCCTTCCTTCGCCTGTACCTGCACAAATAACGGAATACTCTGGCCGGGGCTGGGGTGTTCCGCCTCCGAAGATTAAGTTAGTCCCCTTCTAAATGTGGAAATAAGACAATAAATGCTTCTCGATTTGAGAGCGTTTGCAAGGGGATTTGTGTTTTGTTCGTTTGTGGGAAATTGATTCGATCCCCATTAATGAGGTCTGCCCTTACTATTTATAGTAGGGAGAACTGTACCTCAATTAGGGTACAATGACACGTGTCGCAAATGGGATCGGGCCTTTGCTGACCGTTGCAAGCTTGACACGTGGCAGGCCTTAATTGGGCCACGTGTCTTAGGGTATTTTTACCCTAAACAACCGTATTTTTGCTGAACTGAAATTATTTTTATTGAAGTGAAATTATTTTTGCTGAATTTAAATTATTTTTACTAAACTGAAATTAATTTTACTGAACTAAAATTATTTTTGCTAAAGTGAAATTATTTTTACTATTTCTTCTTTAAAGTTACTGATTTTTACTAAACTGAAATTATGTTTACTAAATTGAAATTATTTTTACTGAACTGAACTTATTTTTGTTGAACTGAAATTATTTTTACTGAATATTATATTTTAAAGGTGAAGTGAACAGGGGCTTACTATAAGAAAATTTTCTTAGAATCCTCCTCATAGAAATAAGCCTAATATCTAAACAAAAAAAAAAAGAAAAAAAAAACGGGAGCATAAATATCAAGAAGGATGGCTTAGTCCACTCATACGTTCTCTCTCCTTACCCCATTCTGACATCTCATACTCTCTTTCATCCACCTCATTTTTCACTATCTTTTTCCTCTCTTCCATCCTCTTTATTTTATTTTACCCACATCAAAGGATATCCTCTTAATATATTTTATACTATCAATATGGCCCCACCTATAAATTTTATCTTTGTAAGAGATTATTTTTTATTGATTCTTTTAATGATAGGTCTAATAATAATTAGGATCCGATTATTAGCATACATAAATAAAAATTACCATACTTTACCAATATTTTGATACAATAACACATGAAATTAGGAATAAAAACACTAATTGATACACTAAAGTAGAACAAATACAAGAAATTAAAGACAAACAACTAATTATCCTCTTTTTTCCTTAACGATTACAAATATGCCCAAATCTTGCCCACAAATGTGCCACCAAATCTTGTTTATTGTGGAGATTTTCTAGAATTGTGGATTATTGAAAATATTTGGATCAAAAGGGGGAGTATTTGAATTGTATTGAGAATTTGAATTGTTTGAAAAATTCATATTCCTTCCATAATTAAGAAGAAAATTTTAACAAGAGAGAAAATAGAGAAAAAAAAAATATGAAAATTTGAAGTGCATAAAAAATGGCCAAAATTAAATTCATTTTATAGAGGGAAAAAAAATAAAAAAAATAAAAAATAAAGCCATCGGTGAAATAGGATTTTAAAAAATAAGTTACCGTTTTTTATTAATGACCGTTACAAGTTTTTTGTTCTAATAAAATTATGTAACAAATATAACAAATAATAAGATGACACTTGTCAAGCAATGGTTTATCAATTCAATAATGTTGTCGTTGAACAATTCTTTGGCATTTGATGTTTGTCGGATACTGCATCTCTTTTTTTTTTTAGCAAAACGTTATCGTTTCTTGTACAAAATAGCTTCAAACGGTGGATTTTGGCTGTTTTGCTTCATCCTTTTGGCACAAAGGATGAAGTGCTGAATCCTTCACCAAATGAGGATTGTTGAGCATCCTCTTCCCTTTGAAGATCCTCAACATTTCCTAACATCAAAGGGGTTGTGTCCACATCAGCTAATACTGTAATATGTTGAATATAAATTGTAGGGGAGGTAACCTAGCGACATAATTTAGCCCATTTTTTCATACATCGTCAATGGAATTAGTTCTAATAAGGGTTATCCAAATACAAATTACAACTAAAATAAATTTTCATAAGGTCTAATAAGTTCAAATAAGATAAGTTCATATAAGTAAAAATCAACACACCCGTTCCTCTTGTTAAGTTGTTATATGGAGTAAGATAAGAAGTCCAACTTCACAATCACAAACTTTCATGTTAATTTAGTCTCAGTTTACCAAACTTTTACCAAACTAATCCAAAACGTAGCAACTAGTGTTATGGGATTTCAAGTTGAAGAGCGAGTTAGGACATAAAACAGCACCAAGTAAACAGGTTATTCTACACCGTATATCATACTACCTCCCGTTTTATTTAGTTGACATCATTCTCTTTTCACGCAACACGCTATTTTAGTGATTAATATTTCTAATTCTCGACATTGTAAAATTATAAAAAGTTAATATTAATAAATATACATTGAGACGATTCAAACAAGATCCCACTTGATTATGTTTTATCGTAACTATAAATCACAAAAGCTAGTCAAAGTGTAGTTTGTGAATAGTGTAAAAGTCAAATGGTATCAACTAAAAAAACGGAGGAAGTACAAACAGCAAAGATCGTGTTAGCACAAACCCGCAAAATAGAAGGTAAAAGATGCGCCTTAAACACAATTTTAGATCACTGGAACAAGCTCTATATCTGCATAAATACTTCAATCTCTTAGTGCAACAACTTCCAAATATACAAGAGTGTATATATGTGGACTGCATATGGCAGCATACCTATAATCAAACCACGACCATAAAATCAAGTCATCGAGCTGATCCAAAGTTTCAAATAGATTATGAATATATATGTGAGTGGAAAGGAACATAATGAACACGGTTTGCTTAACGCATGTTCAGATGTTCTCGAGCAGCTTCAGGCCTTCAAGAACTTCAAGGCATGGTGCAAAAAATCTTCAGGATTAACTATAGAAGAAAAGAAATGAACCGGTCAGGGTTTGTTGTTTCTGATTCTGCAATTAAAAAGGGGATAATAATATATACACGCAGCGCAAACATGTAAGCAGTTAATACAGGCCCAACCTACTTAGACAAAAGTTTTTCCCCCAGGGTAAGACTGATAATATCAAGAGCGAAGGCTGTGCTAAAATTGTACATCAGAATACTAACGAAGCCATGCTTTTTCCTCACAATCTAAACTACTTATGATTTAAGTCCTTGTGACTTCCAAGCATTGATAATTTGGTATTGCCTAAAACAGATCTTAGATGATGAGCTTTACAGATTAAACAGTATGGACATGAATACATACATCTAATCTTCGAAAGTGTAAACCTTTATAAATGAGTAACAGCTAATTATAAGACGTAACTTTCATACAGAAGTAGAAATTAAGATACTGTACTATTGTAAGACTCTCCCCCATATCCTCCGGAAGATTAAGTCATCACCAAAGTTTTATGTTGGACTTGTAGAGCCTTGCACTTGCACTTGCACTTGCACTTGCACCTGCTCTCAGTTAGCTAAGCGAAACTAAAATCAATCCTACAGCCACCAATGCTTTATATCTACGTGGTAGATTGATCATTCATTGGACTAAAAACAAGTTTTAAAGTTTGTCAATTCTAAAGAAAAATAAGATCTTTAAATGCACTCAAGTTCTGTTGAAATGCTTTATGAGGCGTGCAATTGAGTAAGATGAAAACATCATGGAGGAACAGAAATCTATAAGATTAATTGATAAAACAGAACTTCATGTAGCAAGGTTATTCGAGTGGGGTATAATATTCTCATATGCTGTGATACTTCACAGAAAGCACAATTCTATTACTAGAACATCAACATATAAGTGAGTAATTAGCCTGAAAAGCATTTACCTCATTGGTTCAAGAGATTCCCATGTAGCAAGGTTATTCGAGTGGGGTATAATATTCTCATATGCTGTGATACTTTCATGGTCCATTTCAATCTCTCTGATTTCTTCAAGCTCAAAGTCGTAAGAATACAATCTCTTTTTTCTCCTAAATACCATTTCTTTGGCATTCAAACCAAAAGAAGGTAAAGAGTACTCCTCATTATCCACATAACCCAAAAGAGCATCGATGCAAATGGTGTGCTGCTTTACCCACTTCGTTCCTTCTAACCCCTTCAAGACCCACACATCTATATGGTCCATATCCAAACTGTTCACAAAGCTCAGAAAACCACCCATTTCGACTAGCCTATCATACATTCCCATGGTCATTGGAAGGTCTGTCACGGAGAATTTTTCATCATCAGCCCCCATAGAGATTATATAATTGGAATTAGATGGACCAGGAAGCCAGTGCAAAGCTCCAAGAGCTGAAATAGGTGCCTGGCCTAATTTATTAAAAAGCGTTCCAACTGGCCCATTAACCGCTTTCCATGATCTTGTCTGCAAGCTTAAAATCTCACAAGCAATACACCCTGATTTATCCTTGAACAAATGCACCACTTTAAAAACACCTTCTAAATGGCTATAAACTAGCCCATACGATTCCTCATGAAGTTTACTCGGAAGAGTTCCTGGAGGAAACCCTATCAATTTTCTCGTCATAGGATTCATCACAATTAACCGCCCTGGTTTTTCTTGACTGCCAACCAAAGGCTGATCCAAAAAGGAATTTCTTTCCTTCATAAGTCCTTGCATAGAGGTGATCAAAATCAACCCATTGCAAGTGGATACAAGTGATCCGGAACAGCTAATATTGAGGTCAATTAACTTGCCCTTCTCATTGTCAATTTCCAAGAAATGGATGGACTTGCTTTGTTTAGTCCCCGAGCTACAAGGAAACAAACAAAAGCTTTCAGCTTGGCTGAGTTGGGTTTCGACATGGAATGTGAACGGTCTTTTGTTATCAACTCCCCGGAGTATGATAGGGGTGGTCTCAGCATGATTATTGTAAGCCTCAACAAACTCAGCACAATGGATCAACTTATACCATGCCTTGCAAACACAAGTAAACCTCAAAAGAGATTTGATTGGTAATAAAAGAAAGACCTTAAACATCAAATCATTAGGTAAAAAAGGCACCCAAGAAGTTTTCATTTTAACAGCTCTTTCTTGTACCATCTTTATAAAACTCATCTGCCTCTTTTTGATCCCGTAATACCTTTCCTCAATTAGGGATTTTCTTTTCATTCTCATTTTTCCTGATTTAAGTGAGAGAAAAACAATTAATTTCACAAATTAGAAAAACCCCTTCTATTAAAACCTACATTATAGTATAACCTTAATCTAATTCACTATTTTCAGCCCAAAAAAAATATACATGCAATTCCAATTTCTAACACAAAATAAACTCAATTAATCCAATACTCAAAAGGGTTTTCATATTTGGCATGATAAAATAAAACCCAGATAAAATTTTAACTCAGAATTGAACAGAAGGAAATCATAGTACAATTATTAATCCATACTATTTTGAAAAATTAATCAATGCCCTGAATATACATGATATAAATAATAAATCACAGATTATATTGTTTTTTGTTACAAAAAAAGTAAGCACATCAATGATTAAGCAATTCATTTATCAAAATTTCCCTCAAAATAAAATAATTTGATCAGTTAAAATAAAATCACAATAACAAGTACACAGAAAGCAAGGAACTTTGAATCAAACAAAACTGAAATAGAGTGAGATTGAGTACCAGTGAAGGAAATTGACGACAAAGAACAGAGGCCTGCACTTTTTTTTTTTTTTTTTTTTACAGAAAACTTATACCAATATTTTTGTGAATTGTATACGACCCTGATCTTAATTTATATCTGTTATTCGGAATCATTCACTCATACAAGTCATACTCGTACGACGTTTAAGGGTTGTTTCTTTCTTTTAATTAAAGAAGAATACTTTTACTATTTGTTTTGTTTGTTTATGGCCAAATGTCCAGTGACAAGTGTAGTACACGTAGTGGTAGAAATGGTAATTACGTTATTCGACTTGGATTTATTCAAGTCGGGTCATATTCGAAGTGTTAGAAATGGTATTTAGTACGAGGGTATGGTGGACTCATTCGAGATGGGGCATATTCGGATAAGAAGAATTTTGGGTCGAATCAGTTTCACCAAACATTCAAATCCACTTTCATCTATATTACAAGTATTATTTTATAGAATAATTACTAAGATAGTTAGACTTGTGATCAAATGTTTGCTTTGTTTTGAAAGGAAGGGCATGAATGAAATGATTTTTAGGATTTAACATTGAAATTTAGTGGTCAAAAACTACAACATAATCTGTCGCGCAATTAACTTCACAATAGACGTAATGAGAGATGATAGACCACTCCTATTTGCTCAACCTCAATGAGCGGCTCAATGAAAGGTATTATATGAATCAATCCTATTGTAAATAATAATATGACTAACCTCGAAATCATGCTCCACTATATAATCATTATTATTATTTTATTGGTAAATAAGTTGGATGATATAATACAAACAAAATTAAATTAAAGAAAGTTGACGAACCTCCACGGCTCCACCTTAAAGAACTTTAGCAATCTTTTTTTCTTTTCCCTTCCTTTAGTCTTAACCTTAGCAATTTTTTTCTTCATAAAGAAATGGCATCTACTTTTGTGACCCCTCTTTCATTAGTCTTTACCTTTTTATAAACACTTTGCTATCAGAAAAGATAAGCATGGTTGAAAGACACTACGCAATTATAACTGTTTATATGGTATAAGAAGTAGTGAATCCAAACTCTTCTTCTTCTCTCCTCAATTTTTGAAGTTTTTCTAGGCCGAGTGGTCATTTGTTGACCAAATTGGCTCCCCAGCCTATATAGTACACCAAACTTGTGCATAATGTACCTAGTACATAATATTAGGAAAAGAACATGTATATTTTGTCTTAAAAATTACATTTTTATTCATGAGAATACCTGGAATTTTGAAATTGATTGTATATAGTTAGGTTTAAAATTGATTTGAAAAAAATGATTTAGAAAAAGAATTAGTAATACTAAATACAAAATTTGATAATTACGGTCTTAGGAGCTTATCTTTTACTCCCTCCATCCAAATTAGTAGTCATACTTTTGTTTATGTTTTAATCTTTTCAATAAAAATTTCAGTCAATACTCCATATTTTGTATTGTAACATTTTCTAAATCAATTACATTTTAAGTACGGACTATGGAGTAGTTTTTAATACAAGACGCTAATTTTGCCGAAGAATTGAAATTTAAAATTGACGAAGAACTGAAATTTAAGGTCAAAGTAAAGACAAATAAAAACAATTATTCCCACGTGATACATGATTACGAACAAAACCATTTGATGTAAAAAGACTTTTTCGAATAAAACACGAAAACTAAGAAATAATGTTGCTCACCAAAAGAGTGTCTCCTTCCCTTAGCTTTGGGCGAATTATTGAGTGCGCTTCCAAATTTGCTGCTTCTCCCTCTCTCAATCTTCACTCTGGTAAACTAATCAACTCTCTTACCTTTTTTAAAAAATTTAATTTTTTAGTTTCGAGATTCTGGGAAAATGTTTAATTAATTGCTTCTTAATTTTCTGATTAAAAAGTCATTAACTTGCAACCCCATTTTATTTATTTATTTATTTATTTTATTTTAATTTAAATTTGGGATGGAGTATATTCAACTAAAAGTTCTTCAAATTGGGTTGATTGTGAAATCTACAATATTTGTTTTTCTAATTTTGTTTATGTTTGTAACAAATGTCAACAGCAAGCTCAATGGTGAATGTAGAGAAAATGGGTGGAAGTGATGAGCATATTACTCGAGTTCTATTTTGTGGGCAACAATTTGTTGATTCTTATAATTATACCAAAGAGTATTTGAGTAATTATCCTCATATTCAGGTAAAATTTACCCAGCAATGCTGTTAAAATACTAAAAGCTGTAGTCTTGATTCACTGATATTGAACATTAGGAATACATTGATTTGATATCACTTATTTTAGTACTAGATATCCAATTGAAAGTGAATATTGCCTCAATTTTATAGAAACCGAACCCCGGGTCGAGTTAGGGTTGATCTTTGATTGATCATGGACAATTTGTGGTATGGAAACTTATTGTCTACAAGGGTGATTAACTTCTAGAGGAAAGGGTTAGGTTAATAAATTTTTCTGTTTACACTCACTAATCTCTCTCTTAAATTGCGTGTTCATGAAGTGAGTTCCAAACGGAGGGAGTACATATTGCTTCTTGCCATTTTAATCTTTCTTTGTGCTAATAAAATTTCAAGCCTCTTAGAGATGTCCAACTGTCTAAGAAGTTTCAAATATGGTAGATTGGTAGTTATACATTGATAATGTATCTACGTAACAAAGTCTATCCATGTTGAAATTTTTATTGTAGGTTGATGATATCCCTCTAAGTGATGTGCCCAATGTTATTGGCAACTACCACATGTGCATACCGAGGATGATGCGTATAGATTCAGATATTATTTCTCGTGCAAAACAAATGAAGCTCATATTACAGTTTGGTGTTGGCTTAGAGGGTATATCTCTGGGTTTGCTATTGTTTATGTGATTCTGATAATTTCTTGTATACTCTTTTTTCTTCTTCAGTGATTGAAGGGAAGATACAGAATTTAGTGCATTCATTGACATTGTGTCTGGCTTCTGTTTGGAGCAGGTGTTGATGCAGATGCAGCCACAAAACATGGAATTAAAGTTGCTAGAATTCCCGCAGATGGCACTGGAAATGCTGCTTCTTGTGCAGAGATGGCAATATATCTGATGTTGGGCCTTTTACGAAAACAAGTAGGCTATTTTTTGTTTAGTGGTCTACAAACTTCATTTTCCATTGCTTATTGAAGGATTTTTATAGTCTTGTTTCTTTGTGGACTTTTCATCTGCCAGTCTTGTATTTAAGCTTCTCTTGCTAACATTTTGCAGAAGGAGATGGAGATTTCAATAAAGCTGAAAAAACTTGGCGAGCCTGCTGGTGGAACATTATTTGGGAAAACTGTGAGATCCCCTTTCCCCCCCTCCCCTTCCCCTGGCTGTGTTACTTACTGCACCAAGATTTTTGGATTTTATAGTTTACATTTTCTCTGCTTACTTCATTTATGAGTCAGAACTTCAAGCCACAGTTTCTTTTTGAAGGGTTTGATAGTGTCTGAACATTATCTGTGTTGTTTGACTGAGAGAAGGCAACCGATCAGTTATCATTAGCTAATATCAAAATTCAATCTTGAAGAATGATCAATTGTTCTTCATGTGTCAATACAAATGGCAGTTTAAAATTCAATCATGAAGAATGATCAAGTGTTCTTCATGTGTCATCCCAACAATGAGCTTAGAAGTTAGTGAAAAGTTGTCCCAAACCCTAGCGTGGCCAGGTGCAGCTTGTTTATAGTGTAGTAGATTCATTTGTAGATGTTGACTTGGATGGGTGTAGTAAACAGAATCGGTGAAAAGCTTGTTTATAGCACTGGATTTAGATAAAGGTCTTTATGTCAGCAAAAGTTGTGAAGTTGATTGTTTGGTGTTTACTTCCTTGCTTTCTATCTAATTAATTGATTTTCACTTTTCACTTAAATTTGCAAGCTAACATGAAGTTCATATATGCATAAACAGGTGTTAATTTTGGGTCTTGGGAATATAGGGCAAGAATTGGCAAAGCGGTTGAGACCATTTGATGTTAAGATCCTTGCGACAAAACGTAGTTGGTCCTCTCTTCAATTAAATGGTTTGACTGTTACTGCATTTGTGAAACTAACTACTTATGTTTCCAATTATGCTCTTATTTTTTACGATTTGGTGTCATGTATAAATTTTATATCTTCAGGTTCTTCAGCCCATAATGATTGTGTTACTGATTTAGTTGATGAGAAGGGTAGCCATGATGATATATACAAGTATGCAGGAATGGCAGACATAGTTGTTTGTTGCCTAAATATGAACCGTGAGACGGTAATGCTACTTTAATATATTGACTTGCTTGTACTGTCAAATTCCATGTTGTCTCAGGAGGTGCTGACCAAGGTGTGTCTTTGCTAATGTTTAGGCTGGTATCATAAACCATTCATTCATGCAGTCCATGAAAAAGGTGTGTTTTGCTTAGCATGTCACAATTTTCTATAGAGAAGCAAAAGATCTACAATGAGAAACTTTGAGCTCAACTAATTTTTGAAAATGTCTTAGTGCTGTTTAGATCTTTTACCTAGTGTTCATTTTGATGAAATCCAATTGTTTTGGCTCTTTCACTATGTATGCAGGGGGCCTATCTGGTAAATGTTGCACGTGGAGGTCTCCTAGATTATGATGCTGTTGCACAAAGTCTCAAGTCTGGCCATTTAGGAGGCTTGGGTATCGATGTTGCTTGGACTGAGCCATTCGATCCCAGCGATCCAATTTTGCAGCTTCCAAATGTTCTAATCACACCTCATGTTGCTGGGGTTACAGAATATTCCTATAGATCCATGGCAAAGGTATGAAAGTCTCGGGCTTAAGATTTTAAGATATTACTTTTAAGTAAATCAAATCCGTTGTTATGAATATCCTTGGGAAATCTCTAACTTCTCATTCGATATTACCTAGTCCACCTTTTTACGATATACCTGCTCCAATTTGTGGCTGTTTATGATGCCTCTTGAACCATAAAGGTTTTGTAGCACTAGCATTGACCTATGATTCATATCATGCAATGTCTTCGGAATGCGTGTGAAATATATTATTCTAGCTGTTCAGTTTATAAGTAACCTAAATTAGATGGCTAGTGATAAGGCTGTGGGGATCACCTAAAAATTGTGTCCGAACTGCAAATTTTCTAATGATTGAGTTAGATATTAATGGTTGTAAACTGTCAATAGAGTGTACAACATTGAATTCTAAGTGGATGGTATGATTGGCACATTTTCATTTATGTTAAACACTGCAAGGCATTGAATGAGCTACAGCTGGTGATCTGGGATCAAGTTCCGTCACATGCTAAAATCAACTGCTAATTCTAGAATAAGGGCCTCAGGCACTGGTATCCAAGGGTCTGATGTTCATATGTTGGTTTGGGATGCATTCATTTCATGAATTGAAAAGAATGATCCAATGAGGATCCTTACATTTGTTTGTGATATGTTGTGGATAGGAAAATACGTAGAGATTTCAATGACTCTCACTATCTCAACTTGGTTGAAAGTGAGTGTAGGCCTCGTATGCATAAATTTTGTGTTTTCTATCATTTCATGGCCATGCACATTGTGAAATATTCAGATTTCTTGTTCTTATGCTTTTAGAAAAAGGCAAATCTTCATTTTCTAGGCATAACTTCAAAATAGTCCTGGATATTCTGGCACTGAATCTACTGATTGAACGATGGACAAACATGCAGGTGGTTGGCGATACTGCTCTTCAACTTCACACTGGGAGCACAACAGCTACAGGAATACAATATGTGAACTGATAAGGCTCATCATCGAGTAACAGGTATAACCTCCCGGCACCCCCTCACTTGATCAATTGTAAGGTGAGGAGGAAGAGCAAGGAAAATGCTAATATTCCTCGTTTAGTGTTTCACTCGATTCCAGTTGTAGAATTGCTTGCCCTGTAGTGATTTTTTGTGTATTGGTTGGGGTGGTGGTTTTTTTTTGGGGTTGAGATTGAGGTAGGGGGGGGGGGGTGTTGAGGAGTTTGCTTCATATTTTTGTCTTGTTAGTATTATTGGATTCTCCCATTACTTTGTATTGTGACCAACCTATGATGTTAAACACATTATGCACCTCCATTGGTGTAATCTTATTAATGGATACTTGTTCCTGCATAGTGCAATAACTTAAATATGGTATTATGTTTAGCAAGATTTCTGCAGAAACAATTGGCGTCAATTAAAGGAAAATAAAATTAATAATAATAATTCTGCTAGCTTTTCAAATGAACCTTTTCATTTTGTCTTTCGGAACAACATTATTTTAAATCATCCAAAATTTACAAGTCCTCCTAACTCTACTCATATAGTACAACACACCTCAAGAAAGGATTTCTTTCAGAAATATTTTTGATTTGAGATAACTTCTAAGATCTCCTATAATATTATGCATGTCATTGGTATACCAAGATGGCTCATAAGTTAGCAGACAAATGAACACTTGTAAGCCCGCAGTATATATTGTGAGCTGAATGGAAAATTCTTTGCTAGATAACCTCCTCATTAGCTTTCGCTAAAATCAGCATCTATCACCTCTCCATTACCATCAGAACCGGTTCCAGTAGATTCAGTCGAATCAGCAGGAGTTCCAGCTGTAGGACCTGCCCCAGCCGCTCCTGGTTGACTGTACAAAGATTGCCCCATCTGCATTACTTCCTGGTTTACTGCAGCTATGGCATCCTTAATCTTCTGAGTAATGCCACCTTCCATAGCATCCTTAAGGTCTTTTAGTTTGGTCTCAACTTTCTCCTTTACTGCTGCAGGGATTTTTTCTCCCAACTCCTTCAGCTGCTTCTCAGTTTGATACACCACAGAATCAGCTTGGTTCTTGGTGTCAATTGCATCTCTCTTCTCCTTATCCTCTTGTGCGAACTTCTCCGCCTCTTGAACCATCTTTTCCACCTGCATTAATCATTCATTCACATTAATATCAATCCAAACAGCTTTGCTGCTTCAAATCATGTTTATAACCAATAATTTTTAGGTCAGGTCATTTTCCAGCAACTCTGTTTTCAAGTGTAAATCAAACATATTTCAACACAAATAATGACTTTTGCCTTGTCTGTAAAAATTAAAGTGATGCAAGAATCAGAGGGAGTCACTCAAAAACATACCTCATCTTTAGGCAAAGTACTAGCACCAGTTATGGTAATGTCCTGTTTCTTTCCAGTTCCTTTGTCAATTGCTGTGACAGAAAGAATTCCATTGGCATCAATATCGAACTTAACTTCGATTTGGGGTACCCCACGCGGAGCTGGAGGTATCCCATCTAGTCGGAAGCTTCCTAGTGATTTGTTATCCCTCACAAACTCTCTTTCTCCTTGAAGAACATTGATCTCTACACTTGTCTGCCCATCTGCAGCAGTTGAGAAAACTTCTGATTTGGAAGTAGGCAGCGTTGTGTTTCTTGGGATGATCTTTGTCATAACACCACCAAGTGTCTCTAACCCCAGAGACAGTGGTGTTACATCCAATAAAACTATGTCACTAACATCTCCAGCCAACACACCAGCCTGAAATAGACCGCCATTTGGGAAGGAAGAGTTAAACCACGACCTACACCAAAGACTCGTAAATTCAAAACTGAATGAAAAACAACTTACCTGAACAGCTGCACCAAGGGCTACTACTTCATCAGGGTTGACAGTGCAATTCGGGTCTTTACTTGTCATCTTTTTCACAACATCCTGTACAGCTGGTATCCTTGTTGATCCTCCAACAAGGATAACTTCGTCTATGTCTTTAATCGATAGTTGTGCGTCCTTTAAAGCAGTTTCGACGGGTGTCTTCAATCTGCAGAATTTAAAGCAGCCTGTCAATAATCAAAGCAAAGTGACACAATTTGAGCAAATAACTACTTTAGTTTTCTGAACATTATACCTGTCAAGCAAGTCTGAACATAACTCTTCGAACTTTGCTCTTGTGAGGGTTGTGTCAATATGTTTTGGGCCGTCTTGTGTTGCAGTAATGAAAGGTAAGCTGTCAAAACATACCATTGATGATCTTAGTATAATCTGAAATGATTTCTAAAGGTACAATTCTGTGTTAAAGTATGATACACATATACTTGCCTAATGCTAGTCTGAGTTAAGGTCGAAAGTTCAATCTTTGCCTTCTCAGCAGCTTCAGTTAGACGCTGAAGAGCTTGTCTGTCATTCCGAAGATCAATACCCTCATTCTTCTTGAAAGTTTCTGCTAGCCAATCTACCATTCTCTGCAGCAGCAATTACAAAAACTGTATCATTCACTGTACAAGAGTAAAGAACCGATTAAAGCTAACACATCATTAGGCATACTGATTCCTTGTTTCCTACCTTGTCAAAGTCATCGCCTCCCAAATGAGTGTCACCTGATGTAGATAACACCTCAAAAACTCCATCTCCAACCTCAAGAACTGCAAATGGCAGAAAAAGTTGCAATGTAAGATAATCTGATGTACTGCATCAAAAAGTAAACTACTGCAGATTACATAGAATTTCTCACAATCGGAGTCTTCTGTTTTGAAGAACTTACCCGAAACATCGAAAGTACCACCTCCAAGATCAAAAACCAAAATCGTCTCGTTGTTCTTCTTCTCGAACCCATATGCTAATGAAGCAGCAGTAGGTTCATTTATAATCCTAAGAACATCCAAACCAGCAATTCTACCAGCATCCTTAGTAGCAGTCCTCTGAGAATCATTGAAATAAGCCGGTACAGTAATCACCGCCTTATTAACACTATCATTCAAGAACCTTGATGCATCCTCCACAAGCTTCCTCAACACCTGCATTTTTTTTCACAAGCACAACAGCTCTCATTCAGTAATTTAATTTCAACAATGCAAGTAAGCATACGAAAAACCCAAGAAATAAATCAGTACTACCTGAGCAGAAATTTCCTCAGGAGAAAATAGCTTGCCAATAGCAGGACACTCAAGCTTAACATTCCCATTTTCATCCTTCACAACTTTATAAGAAACTTGCTTAGACTCCTCATCAACCTCTCCCATCTTCCTCCCTACGAACCTCTTAACCGAAAAGAACGTGTTCTCGGGGTTCACCACCGCCTGTCGTTTCGCAATCTGACCCACGAGGCGATCCCCACCCTTGGTGTAAGCCACCACAGAAGGCGTGGTGCGCTGCCCTTCAACGTTGGTAATGATGGTAGGTTGTCCACCTTCCATTGCCGCCACTGCGGAGTTTGTCGTCCCTAAGTCAATCCCCACCACCTTCTCACACACCACTCGTAAACCACTGAACCTTCTAGAGTGTCCTGGAATATTGCCATTTCTTCTCTTAGAGCTAACAAGTACTGAAACTCTGTTGTTCCTGAGTTTTTGTCCCAGGAAAGTAGTGTTGTTTTTGTTGGTGATTTTTCCTAGGATGTTGATTTGGGCTGCTGCTGAGGTTGTTGCCATGATGATTGTTTATGAAGTTTTTGTTTCAATTTTTTTTTATGGGTTAGGTGAAAGTGATAAAGATGATCAAGTTATAAAAAGGAAGTTTTGGAGGGAGAGTGTTCTAGAAGGCTCTTTGGTTCTCCACCGTTGGATTTGGTGGGATTGCGATGCAAGAGTTTGGTGACCGTTGGATTTGGATTTTTACATTTTTGTTTTTTTTTTTTTTTGTTTGAGGGTTTAATTTTCTGGTAAAGTCCAGGACTTTCTTTGAGTTGGAAATGTGGTTTGTAAATGAATGTATGATGAGTTTGTGATGTTGACTGTTGATGATGAGTCAAGAGTGTTTGTGAGTGATTAGAAGTTGGATTTTGCCATTTTGGATAAAGGGAATTGGAGGGGGAAGCACCTAGAATTGGGTTTTGGTTGTTTTTGGTATTGTTTCATGGGTTGTGGCCCTTTTGGGCCTTCTTCTCGTGAAGGAAATCTGGTATTAATATAGAATCTAATGATCGTGTCGATTTTATGATTATGTGTTCAATTGACAAAACAAACTCGTATTCACTATCCAAAATTAATATGATTATAGAATTTATTTATTTTTTGACATGTAAATTGATGTCAATATTGATTGAACCAAGATAAAATCCAACTTTTTTTGTCCAAAATTGAATTAAAAGGATCATCATTCCAATTATGGCCCAAGAAAATTGACCAAAACTTTTTTTAACAACCCATTTGCTAATAATACTCCGTAACAAACATGGAGATGAAATTGAGATTACATTGATTCACACCCTTTTTTGTTTTTAGTTTGCTAATAACGTGTTTTCCTACTAGAAATCTTTATAGGTAGAGGTGGATAATTGAAAGCTTTCAGGTGGCTTGGATAAAAATGAAATTCATTCACACCCCTTTTCCTTTTTAATTTACTGTATTAAGTTTATGCTGTACCAAAAAAAAAGCAATATGTAATTGAAAGATACTTTCACGTACGTACAATTACTTGGTACCCTGTATGACACAACTTTAAGTCTTCAATACGGTACATATAAGGTTCAATTCACATCTTACGCTACACAACCATCTTCCACATAATATAGAGATACCCGTAAAAAAAAAAAAAAAAAATCCAAATCATTTGAAAAAGTCTTAGATCAAAAGAAAATTAAGTCTTTACCAATTACCATTGATCATAGACTAATGGGACAAAACATAACTCAATTTTTTTCTAAAAAAAAAAAATCTTAGATCAAAAGAAAATTAAGTCTTTACCAATTACCATTGATCATAGACTAATGGGACAAAACATAACACATTTTTTTAAAAAAAAAAAAAAAAAGATCTTCATTCTTTGATAAACTTGTTATTTGTTATATGCTTTTATCTAATGAAATTAGGAGATGATAAAGAAAATATTGTGATCTTTGTAATAAAATTTCCTTAAATTATATATGTTGTAATTGTAATATTTATGAAATATCGATTGTCAGATTGTATAAGAAATAAGTTAGACATATGAGTGAGATAGTAAAAAAAATCAAGATACAAATATATTATATTGAATGTATGTAAGACCCATATGGCCACATAAGATGAGATAAAATTTAGTAGTCATCGTAACCCATTTTGTGACATTAGGCATTGCATGCTAATTTGGTATGTGGAGTTTGTACCCATGTCTCCTTGCAATTCCACTAGTACAAAATCTAAACCTCAACTCTAAGGTATGCCAAGTGTTAGGCTACCCTTCTCCCATCTGGCGTTTCCGTATTCTACGCCCTCTTCACTACCACTTGCGCCTAATCTCATTTTTCTCCTCATTTCTTTTACTCTTCCACATTCCATTAACAAACCCAACAATCCAACATTTGAGTCACAAAAATTCTCAAAAAAAAATTATAATCATGCTCTAATTCTAGATACAGAAACTGTATGTCACATAAAAAGTGACATAATATCGTATTTATATAAAGATTATGATGGCTAATTTACAAGCTAACCATCAAATACTCAACATTTCCAGAACACTCTCCATTTCTGGTGAATCCAAGTCATTTAAACCAGTTGTTATTACAAAATCATTAGTACTAATACATAATAATAAGTGTATTATTAGAGGTGGGTCATTTAAAGCAGCATGTATTAGTAGTGATAATATAAACAGTAGCAGTAACTGCAGTGCTCTGGTACAGCAGCATCCACCTAGTACAGATGAAGAACTGGGGATTATGATTGATCAGATGGCTGAAATTGGAATCAGAAAAAATGAAGGGTTTGATGAAAATAGAGAGATTGAGTATTTGGTGAAAGAATATGGTTGGAAAGTGAGGAGGATGAGAGAGGATAAGAATGAAATGAAGAAGGTTGCTCAAGTTCAAGCCGAAGCTTTTCATGTTCCTTCTCTTTTCTTTGATGATTGGTTCTTTAGTTTTTTTCAGGTACCCTTTCTTTTTAATTTAATTATTCTCCTTTATTATCTTTATTGCAATAATAACTTAGATGTGAGTTGGGACGTTTTACTACTAATAAGAATAATCGGAATTGGTTTTAGGATTTAATGTTAATAGATTTGTAAGTGGTGGCTGGTGAGACTCTCCTCCAATGTGCCGTGCGCATGTCATGACATGTGTATAGATCAATAAAGATTTATACGTTGTTCAATGTTACTAATCATTTGGGGAATTCTGTTTTAAATTATTATGCATAGCTCTTAATGGGAAATGTGACGTCTTGTTACAACATTGCATTGTTTATTTGTTTATGATGAGTTCTATGATCACCATAATTGAAGTTTTTTCCAGTCAAACTTTTGAATTAATGCTTAATTACAGGGTAATTTGTCGTATAATTTTGATGAAATGACCTTAATATATATAGTAAATCATCTTGTCAGGCTGAAGTTCTTGCTGGACTTGTTTATAGATTACGCAACTCTCCTCCAGACAGGTAATTTCTTCATCCTAATACAAACAACTAAAAAGAATCATTGCTTAGTCTAGATACAATTGGAAATTAATTGTGGATGCATGCAATTTTGGTAACTTCGCTTAAAATCAAACTATTTGCCATTGTAGAGTTGAATTTATACAAGTTTCTTTGCAGTTATGCAATCTAACAGCTAAACACAATCGTCATGCATAAAATTGTAGAGGCTACGAGTATATGTTTCTTGAAAACAATCCAGGAAAAAAAATTGTAATGATAAACCATTTATACTTCCCTTCAACTCTAAAAGCACGTGGTCTCAAGTGCTGCGTTACCTAAAACTCTAAAAGCGCATGGTCTCAGGTGCACCTAATAATTTTTTATATTTATGTTATTTGGCCAAGTTTTGGCTTCACAGTTCACAAGCAATGTTAAAAACAAAAAAGGAATTTGGACTTTTCACAAGGTTCTGTAACAGTCAAGCCAAAACCAAACCTTTGTTTCCTTACATCCATCAACTGAGATTGCTAATTATCGAACTTTTGGTTTAGTGCTTGAAGTTGATGCCATAGGATCAAAACTGGTACAGAGTATGGATTCTTAATCAGTAATTCACGGTCACTCCATGTCCCATAGAGTCCTAGTTTCGCTTGTAAACCAGGCTGCCTGATACACAGGCTAAAGGCCTTTCCCTAAACACCCACCCACAACAATGCCCTAACCACAGTGTTGTTTATCCTGAAAGTTCTTGTTGGATACTTGGATATATACCTGCTAGTTGTATATGAATACAGTTCTTATTTTAATGATAAGAAAAATAAAAACAGGTATGCATGTCTGGTGGCAGAGCCCGCAAAGGAGTATGATAGGGATACTTCAATGAATTCTCAGGCAGAACAAGATCAACAGCAACTTGTAGGTGTAGTTGATGTCACTGTATTAAGAGACAACGACGTGATGCAACACCTCCAAGGAGCTCCAGAGTATCTCTACGTTTCTGGAATTGCCGTTTCCAAACACTTCAGGTTTTTGTCTTATACTTCTATATGTTTGTTTCAAAACACCTCGAGTTGAGCTTCATTTCTCAGTGACACTCCTAATTATGAATAATACAGGACATGAAAGTAATAATTTCTTAATTTCACAACCACTGAACTCCCTGTGTAAAAAAGCTAATTAAATCTTGTTGACGACTGCCCAAGGGCCAATTTTAGATATATACTCCTAACTATTTGATTTAAGCGACTGTTTAACCTGTTAAGTATCAGAAACTTATATGAGTACAGAGTTACTAACAGATTTATAGCATATATGTTCAGGAGGCAGAAAGTAGCAACTGCTCTGTTGAAAGCCTGTGAGGTAACAGCAGTGTTATGGGGACATGAATATCTTGTGCTAAGAGCATATGAGGATGATTACGGTGCTCGTTCATTGTACACCAATGCTGGATATAGACTGGTGTCCATAGACCCTATTTGGGTTACTTGGATTGGGAGAAAACGTCGAATCCTCATGATCAAAAGATGCTGCTAGTGTTCGTAATTGTTCTTCTCCCTGTAAGTACATCAGATCATGTACAGCCTTCTACACAATACTTAAATCAATTTAAAGGGTCTAGTAATCTTTACTACTCGTACTTAAATTAAAGGCCCTTGGCTTGAATTTTGTAGGGAGGCCTTGTCGATTGAAGGAGGATGGATTTGGGTAAAGAAGATAATGGTCTGTATCTATTGGAGATGCTCAAAATCATGTTTTTTGAACAATGTGACCTCCTTTACCCAAACTTACTTGGAGCAAAGTATTACCGAAATTGGAATTACATGTATACTCTTGTTTCCAATGTTAAATTCCATCCAAACCTACTTGGCTTATTATGATGTACATTAATTAACACATTCTCCATACTTTTCTTAATCTATACGGTTGACTTTCACGCTTATTAATGCAAAAACTTGCCACTTCCAAGATACTCCGTATTGTGTGATTATAAATTTTCTTACATAATCGACAATGATGGTCAAGGTGGCAAATATAAACGGTGCAAATGTATATATATGCTACAACTATGGACTTTAATTAAATTCCGCGCCACTTTTTAAGACGGTTACAAATCATTGATGATGTAGCCGAGATTTGATTTACTTTATTAGACTTTAAATATCACATAATATCTAGTATTTTAACTAATTGACATAAACTATACACTTTTTATTTTTCAAACATAATCTTGACAAGTTGAGTTTGAACTTGAGACTTTGAGATAACACGGCTTGATTCTTATTTATTCTTATATCTAACCGAGATCAAAGATTGATCAAAGCTAGCTTCTCATGCTCGGTGTCCTTCTCGTTGGAAAAAAAAAAAAAGATCATGACTTTTTATTTTTCAAGTCTTTACGCAAAGTTGACTAGATTGTAAACAAGAACCTTCCTTTGTCCTTTTGAGAACAGTGTGAAACTTTTATAACATGAAAGCATGCAATAATCAAATGGAGTCATCGTGATGCTTCTTGTACAGGAATCAAAATCATATGCAAAAGTAAAAAATGCAAAGTTGAATGGACGCAAGTAATCATAGTAAATTAGAGATTATTGTAGCAATTTAGCGCATGCTTGCTTGACAACCCATGAAGATGTTGGCGATGCATTCTTTTTACTATTTCAATTTCTTTTGTTACTACCTACAATTGTGGACTTGTCTCCATTTAATCATTTTCATAATTGATTAGCGGCCTTAATCTTCAAAAATACCGCAGTTAAATTCATAGAACAACAATTATCACAAAACTAGTTCAAATTTACAATATCAAGTCACGAATAAAATTTATTATAATAAACGGAGAGACTACCATATTAATACAGAGTAAGAAATAAGTACGAGTAGTATTTTTGAATATTCGGAAAAAAAATAGTCGTCAGAACTCACAAGTAATCTTAAGTTAACCATCAAGCTAAGGAGGGAAGAGCCATGTTGATGTTGGGACCATAGTAGGAAATTTTTGTAGCACGTGTGGAAGTCGTTGCCCATTATAAAGAATGCAAATGGGTGTGATGATTACAAAGCAGATAGCTAATCTTGTAATTAGTTGTAGCAGACCATCTGATGTTCTTTGCTAATTGCATGTGTGATTCTGGGTTGTTTACATGTGTTTGTTGAAAGAAAGCTATGTCAAAGCTCCGGGTTTTGCTGTCTCCATGTTTTTCTTATAATTGCTTTCAGAATTTTTGCATATTAGGCCATTTAAGACCATTTGGGCCCTGATATAATCTCTTAATCTGTAAAAGTGTTAAACTATTTTTTTAGATTACTTTTAAGGACGACATGATCAAAAGTAAAAGTGTATGATTGTAGTTTGTAGATCATGATTTGTTATCTTGACTATTTTGTGTATAAGCAGCTGTAATAAAATTTTCCATACATTTGGCTGTAAGAAGCAAGCACCTAAGGTTATTTATTGCTCATTTGATGATTAAATGAACAATAATCTTCTTTAATCATCAAAATAAGCAAAAAATATCCTTGAGTGTACCGTGCATCCAAATGTATACTTTCTTTGTTCTAATAATATTGCAACAATTGAAATTTTACACTATTCATCATGCTTGTTTGACCACATATTATGATTTATACGTCAAGTAAAATATAGTCATGTGGGGTCTTATTAGATTCGTCTCGTAAAATACTTTAACAATATCAATTTTTTATAATTTTTACTTTTATAGTCTTATATAATTATAGATATTAAGTATATAAAATGTGTTTTGGGATGCTTAATTTCATCCTTATTACAATATTTGTGGAACAGAGAAAATATATATTAACCTTCTCAATCTTTTTAAATCTACGTACTATGTATATTGCTAAGGTATGGTGCATTGGTGCAACTGGTCCCCTAATGTAAGCAAGGGTGTAACGCTGTAAAAATAGAAGAAGATTGGAGCGTGGATTGCGGGGCCCAACAGCCCACATGAATGAAATTGGGTTGGCGACTTGATGAAAAAAAAAAAAGAAAAAAACACTCACTAGAAAAAGGCGGGAATTTCATACACAATTAACCAAATTCGGCGCATGGTGGTTAGTACATAGGAGAGACTTAAAGATTTATGATTAGCCACACTACTTTCTTCCTTAAACATGATGCTAATCATCATTATCCATATCACTTTAATGAAACCAATAGTATCACTTTCCTTTTCTCTTTACTAAAAATAATCCTCCTCCAAAGTAAACGTCTTAATGTGCGTCTATAAAGTATTTTATACATGTTATTTACCTCGTCTAAATTTTTAGAGGATCAATTAATTTTTTGTTACACTTTTTTCTTTACCATATGTCTTGAAGTCAATATCAAATGGTTTTTTTTTAGGAAATATCAACTGGGGGTTTAGTTACAATGATTTGCACTTTAATAACTTTTTGATAAAGTATATAAATCGATTTAGGGGTCAACCATCAGCTTCAGTTTTTAGTTGAGTGGACCCTTTTAACTAAAAATATTTATTTAAAAAAAAAAATTACTCTTGTATTAATTTTACAAAAGATATATAAAAATAATTTAATGTATGTAAATATGTTTTAGAATTCTGTGACACCTCTAAACAATGGATTTGCATGATATTAGCAATGATTGATTTGGATTCATTTCGGCTCAAAGTTTTTTAACTGTGTTATGGAGTGGAGAAAACATTTATAAATTTGGAGATTAGAATAAAGTTATGTGCAACAAAATCAATTGAGATGCTTTGCGCCGTCTTGTTAAGTTAGTTAATCAAGGCCTATAAAGCTGAAATTTTAAACAACTAAACAAAGCAAATGAAAGAGCAGTATACATGATTCTAACCTTGGTACTGTTTTAATTCATTAATTAGCTTATCTTTGCTTGAAAATAGAATAAATTATCTAGCTAGCTAGTATCAGTTAATTGCTCCACCATAATTAATCTATTATAAGTCCTAATAGGAACAATCATTTAGCTATTAGAAGATGTAGAGTAGCTAATCATATTGTCATAAGAGCCAAAATCGAATTTCTAAATCTATGGACCGTGTATATATACTAGAAATTGTATGTACATAGTATGATGATGTTACATATTAAAAATGTTGTTAGAAATATAAATGCATGTTGACTTTCTTGAGATAGTTACATTCCAACTTTTTGTATGTTACTCCATAATATCTGGTTTGTGCTGTCAAGTTGAATATGAATCAATAGTTTATGATGTAAAACTCAATCAGGTATAATAAAATAAATTCAGATAAACAATACACACTCAAAATTAAATTTAAGTAAAATATACCAGTAGGACAATTAATAAGTGACAAGGGAAGTATCCCAAACTAACTAGTACTCCGTAATTAGATTTTAGACCTGTCAATTTCTAGCCCGACCCGATTCCCAACCCGTTTTACTGAGCAAGAACCCGAACCCAACCCAAATGACCCAAAATAGACACGATTTGACCCATTTATCATAACTTGTAATGATCCAAGCAATCCAAACCACTCAAACAAATGATCCAAACAACCCGATATTTGATCCGAATTGACAGGTTTATCCGTAATAGAGCATACAAGTCCTAGAGGAACCCCACACTTAATTATTTATTTATTTTTGAAGGAAACCCCACACTTAATTTCTTATTAAGGATGTTCACTTTATGCAAGCAATGTAGAAAAGAGTGGCAAACAAAACAATCAATTGAATTTGATTTTTCAACATCTCGCTTCTCACAAGTGATCATTTTCATGGAGTTATATAAACCCCTCTTAACAAACCTCTATTTGTCACTCCAAAACCCCCAAATTGCCAGATTCTCATCATCCCCTTCTTCTCAAAAACCCAGAAAAACCCACCAATTTCACAACAATTCCCCAAATTCAAAACCATAATTTATCAAACATGGGCAAAACCAAAAGCAACCATAGCAATCTTAAAAATGCAATCATAGCATTCTTAGCCCCTCTTCCTTCCATCTTCTTCTACATATATTTCCTTAACCATTACTCTGATTCTGAGCATTCTCTCTCCTCCCTTTGGTCATGGTGCTACCACAACCCTTTCCTTCTTGCCAATCTTTTCTTCTTCTTCAACATCAATGTCATGTTCTGGGCTATTGGTCATCTCCAATCCAGCCACTGGGTATGATCACTACTTCTTGAACTTAAATGGGCACTTTTTTATTTTGAATTTGAGTAGTTATTTTTGAAGAATTGTTAAATTTACATTCTGGGGTTTGTTTATATTATGTAATTTGTAAGTTTGAGATGTTTTAGGGTGTGAAATTTGATCAGATTTTTGAAAATTTAGGGAAATGTACTAATTTTTTTGTCGGGTTTTATTTTGGGTGCAGATGATTGATCCATATTGGACAGTGATTCCATTGCTGTTAGCTTACTACTATGCAACTCACCCAATAGCAACTTATAATATGTGGAGGTCTAGAATTGTTATAATGTTGACATTTCTTTGGAGTTTAAGGCTTTCTCATAACTATTTTCGCCGCGAAAATTGGCAATGGGGTGCTAGGGAGGACTGGCGTTTCACTGATATGCGCCAACAGTATGGCAAAAATTGGTGGTGGGTCTCCTTTTTTGCCATCTATTTTGCTCAGCAGGTATGATTCTTACTTTTCCATGTATTTTTTGTTTTACTTTTTAGATTTTTATATGAAGATTAAGTATGTTCAAGTTGGTCCTGTGATTTGAGGCCGAATTTCACGTGTTTCTATTTCAGTTGTGTGATCTTAAGGAAATGTGCAAGTATGATTTTGTTGTTTAAATGCAGTAGATTTGTAAGCAATGTAAGTTTCTTTAGAAGAGTTAAGGTTAAGCTCTCTTTATAAGGACCTGTAAAAGACTAAGACCGAGAAATTTCTAAATGTATTACAGATTTTTTTGATGGGATTAACCTTGCCCTACTACACCATACACACTGTTGAAGCACCATGGAGCATTTGGGATATTGTAGCCATTGCTGTGTGCTTTGCTGGTATAGTTGTTGCTTACTATGCTGACACTCAGCTCCACGAGTTTTCCACCAAGAATGCGGAGTTGAAGGCTTCTGGGAAGCCGTTCTTACCCACTTTGGAGGATGGCTTGTGGAAGTACTCGCGGCATCCAAACTACTTTGGGGAGCAGCTGTGGTGGTGGGGACTTGGTATCTTTGCATGGAGCCTTGGACAAGGGTGGATATTCGTAGGAGCCTTTGTTAATACCTTGTGCTTAGCTTATGTGACTGTTCTGGTTGAGGAGAGAATGCTTAAGCAACCCTTCAGAGCTGAAGCATACCGACAATACCAAAAGACTACCTCAGTTTGGATCCCATGGTTCAAGTCATCATCCCTTGAAGAGACAAAAGATAAGACCAATTAGTATCCTTGTTGGAGTCCCTCGAAGTTTCACTTTGTAATTGTGTGTTCCTATCCCTCTTTGGCTCTTTCTGAGTTATATAATGATTCATGAATGTTGCTTATTTGATAAAAAAGGGTTCCTTAGCTTGTGTGTTTTTTAAGGTTTTTTCCTTAGATTTTTGCTCCTGTCTTATCAGTCTAATGTATGCAATTGTATAGATCAATTGAGTTTTCTTCTTATCTCGACTTGTCCATTAAGTGTTGAACAAAAATGCAAAATCCTATCTTTCTAGTTCAAGCTGTACACTTTCACACTAATACTTAAAGTGTGCTAAATCTATACAAGATAGTCTGATTAGTTAGGGGTAAGGCTAACAGCCACTAGTTCTAGGATTCACTTTTGATTTCATTCCACAATACTGCATGATTGATCAGTCTTAATTTCCTTATTGATTCCACTGACCATATGTCATTTATTATGGGATCCTATATAGCTTTGTACAAGAAAATAATGTAGGTCAATGCTGCAAAATTATGGTATATTTCTACTGTATAGATCTGTACTTGTGCGACTTGTGTCTATAACCATTACTGATGTGAGCCTGATTGGCTTTTTGAGTCAGCCGATGAAGAAGCATCAGGAGAAAGTAAGTGTTAGATTATAGTATAAGATGATCTGGGGAACCTAGTGTGCAGTGGATTAAACCTCATCAGCAAGGACTTGGGAGGGATTTATGGATTTATTTGGAAAATATATAGATGGTCACCTTTAGACCAACAAATTAAAAAAGGTCATTTAACCATGGATATCAAAATCCTTAAACCACCCCTTTGAAAATTTTGTGCATGCAGTTTCCTACTGAATAAAATATAAGTGATTTCATATCTAATCAAACCTTCAACATAGGAAATCATTTGTGTCATACAGCATAACTGAGCATGATTTTATCTGAACATCATGCGGCCAGCATCCCTATGACATTATTGAAGCTCTCTCTTATAGCACGCTTGTCATCTTTGTTCTCAAATATGCATTTTCAGCAAACGCTCAGCATTTGATTAGACTGATCTGCTTTTGTTTTACTGTATTACACTTTTAGAGGCCATCTAGTTGTTCAATGACTATAACTTGAATCAGACAACGAAATCAACTACAGTATTAGAAAGATCTATTCCTGGGGTAGCCATTCAAAGTGCTGGTAACTTTGAGTTAGCTTTATTACTGTTCTACAAAGAACTAAGATTAAAATATGTCTTTTTTTAGTTGCTCATTTCTATTTATCATGGGGTAAATTCTCTCATCTGTCGAACCTTCTCTGTTTCTTTCAACAACCTCTACAGTCTATACACTAAAAAAATCTCCTTCGCAGATATGTCATATTTGACTTTTGCAAAAGGTTGTGTCTATTTGCCATGTTCATGACTATAAATGGGCAATAAATTCTTAAAAGGCAGAAAAAAGTACAAGTAATAAATCTTCTTACCATAGTAACTAGATTTATTTTACACATAAATTCTTAGTTAATGTTAATGCTGTATTACTGCTGTGTACTGGCTGACCAATGTGTTACATGATATGACATATTGTTCAGTGACTCATTCAGCATGAGGCTGCAAGTCATTCTGTTGTCTTGTAATAAGAATTAGATTCTGTTCAAAAGAAGGATATGCCTTGTTTTGCATCGCACTCAAAATGCAATGAAGAAAATTACTTAACTTCTGGTAATTGTAGAGTGCCAGCCAAAAAGCATGATCACCTGTGCAGTCACTGGATTGACGAACATGTGTGACATTGGCAATCTTCGTCCTGATTTTGAACTGTGTGGTCTGTCTGGAGAATCAACACAAAGGCAAGCGAATGATAATAAAAGTGTATATAAAGAATTTTTTATTAGAAAAGCAAATGATGTGACACTATCAGTTTAACCATGTTTATCCTTTCATTTGTATGTGCTTATATACCACTGCATGTAGATCAGTCTGCTCAAGCTTTTTGTTGTAGTAAAAAACAATGGACAAAAAAGAAAGCATAAACTTCCAGATGGTAGGATGTCAGAAATGGAAGCCTGTTGTTGTCATACTGATTATTTACTTTGTGATGGCTGTTTTAAACCTTTTATTTAAGAAGATCCTTGATGAGGGAAAGAGTCATTTAGTTATAGTAACATATCGGCTAACCACTGCTGCAATTTTTTTGATGCCTATTGCCTACTTCTATGAAAGGTATTTGTGTGAGCAAAATTCTTGATTCATAAAAGAAAATGGAAAGAACAAATAACAAGGTGCAGGGAATTAATGTCTTGATTGTTGTTGCAGGAGAAAAGGTTTGAATGTTAAGCTCACACCTCCAATCTTATGTTATCTCTTTGTCAGTGCTTTAATTGGGTGAGCAAGAAAATTATGTTCAAATACTAATTTTTGCTTCTGTTTTTTCTTCATTGTACCATTTTGTTTTTTCTATAAACTTGCAACTCAAATGTGGAAAAATAAGTGAAAAGATAAGATTTTTTCAGGGCAACACTCACCCAGTATCTGTTTCTTCTTGGAATCCAATGCACATCTGCTGCCTTTGCCACTGCCTTTGTCAACATGACTCCTGTCTTCACTTTCCTTTTGGCTATACTACTAGGGTAGGAATTCTTTTTTTTTTTTTTTTTTTTACTTTGTCTAGTAGGAGTTTGCTGAAAGGAAAGTTATGTAACTGCTTTCAGCTTTTCTCAGGCAAGAAAGTGTGAACTTTAAAAGCACTGGCAAGATAGCTAAAGTGTTGGGTTCACTTATCTGCATCGGGGGAGTTCTTTTATTGATCTTGTACAGAGGAATTCCACTTAACAAAGCAACTTACTCAAGGACTTCTCTATACAATGCTAATAACTTGAGTATGTTTGGTAAGATTGACAGCAAGCATAGATGGATCCTTGGATCAATTTTCCTTGTGCTCAGCATCTTATGCTGGTCTGGCTGGTTCCTTTTACAATCAAGGATTGGCAAAAGATATCCATGCAAGTATATGAGCACTGCTTTGATGTCTGCTTTTGGGGCTGTTCAGTCAGCAATCTTATGCTTTGCCATCAACAGGAATATCTCCGTATGGATTTTTACTGGAAAGCTGCAGATCTTTACTGTCCTTGCTGCGGTAAGTATGGTTTGGACCTCCTTTTCTTAATGTGGTAAACTAGTGAATTGTAATCTATTAGTTTTTGAATCAAAATATTGTTCCTTTTTACATTTAAATATTTATAAATGATTAGTAAAGAATTATCGAAGGCCAGACTAATTGTTATAACAGGGATGACTTAATGTATTTTCAGAAACTGCCTTTATGCATTTTGTAGAACCAAAGACATCGAATAGCCTAGGAATTTTTTACTTTTACGAGACTGGAGCTTTTTGAGCAAGATAAAATCATTATTGTGCTAATTGCAGGGAGTTTTAGGATCAGGGCTATGCTATGTTGGGATATCCTGGTGTGTTGAACAGAGGGGCCCAGTCTTCACATCAGCATTCAGCCCTTCCATACAGATTTATATAGCAATAATGGATTTGTCCTTCTTTCATGAACAAATTTACCTTGGAAGGTTTGTTTCTTTCACTTTGTTTCTGAATTCATTAATACTAATACTTCTTTATCCCTAATAGCCACTAATAGAAGTTAATGTCATGTTTAAAAAGGGGGACAAAGGTAGAAAATGACTTCTTTATTTGACTATTCAAAGTTTGTACATCATGTACAAAAATATTTTTCTTTTACTAGTAGTTTTCTAATTGAGAATTTCAGACAAGGGGAATATTAGTTGTATAAAATCTAAATTTCCTTTTGTTTTACTTTTTTTTTTAATTAAATTTAATCATTAGTACTCATTCCCCTTCTGCTTTCTGGGTTGTTACAGTGTTATAGGATCAATCCTGATAATTTGTGGTCTCTATATTCTTCTGTGGGGTAAAAGCAGAGAGGCATCACAAGAAAACATAATCAAGCTAGCTGAGGCAGTGCAATGCAATGAAAGTTCTGCAACTGCAATTGGCATTATTCATGTCACCAGTTCTGGATGCCCCTCTTAGTTTGGTTTCATTCATCTATGCTCCGGAATTTATATAAAACCTCACGTCATCAAAACCTACGTGAGATTTTAAGTCAAATTAAAGAATACTCACTTTGAAATATCCAACTTTGGCATATTATGGACCTTAGTCACTGCTTTCAAATTTTCAATTATTTAAATTAATATGAACTCTCAAGATGTTCTTCCAGAAATGCTATCCATCATAGATATCAATTTTGTATCTTTATAATATTATGAGCAACATATATTGTATTAAAATGTTAAACACTTTAGTGAAAAACAATAACAAATTTCAGATATTATTCAACCTCCCTCTAGTTGTGAGAATAATTGTCATCCGTGTTTGTACTCTTCCCACCTTCCCCTCCCTAGCTTTTACTTTCCTCCATGTGATGCCTTGGTCACCATTATTGTATTAGCTAATAGTTAATTTTTGCCAATGTTAAGCCATGGATGGAAGCCTACTTTCCTCCTAATAGGAGAGCGAAAAATAGATAATCCAGAACCACCTCACCATCTATGGTTCCAGCCAGTATCATGGCATCTAAGATAACTATTTCCCTACAGCTTTATACTTTGAAGTGTTATACCATACTCAACAAATTCTGGATCAGTACTGAGCCTATTGTATATTCCAGTAATCCTATTTAAAAGATAATGATTTCTGTTATAGTATTGATTTAGAACTTAGTTATTTACTTCTATTTAGCAAGTCATATAATTTACTGATACATGGTATAATGCTTTCTCTGACACACTGACAGATTATTTTGACAATAAATTTGGACACCGATATAAGATGCTCAATTGAAACTGGTTTAATGTGGCATAGGATCGTTGGTCAGGACCAGAAAGGCAATTTTCCCTCATTTAGCAGAAGTGTGGATACATGCCATTAATGGCAGTGATGTTTAACACTATCTACACTAGCTCTCTTTACCAAACACTACTCAGTCTAGCCTAAATAAGGTAATTAATCTCATATCAGTTCTGTGAGGCCAACAGCCATATGGCATATTGAAGCTGTCTTTTTTATCCTATATATTCTGCTAGTTCTCTAATTAGAAATGTAAGCATAGAGTCATAGACAGCATTTGGCTACACTAACTAGCATCCAATGTACTACATAAAGTTTCTGAGGTTCTTTGGTCATTCAAAGACAATAATTCTTGTATAAGCAACAAGTATCTGAAAGGTATGTTTGTCTTGTATAAGCAACAAGTATCTGAAAGGTATGTTTGTAACTTTTGTAAGGCGCCACAGAGTGGTGATATTGGAAGTCTTAAAAGAAAATTTGTGTTTATGATATATATTTACCAAATCCTACTTTTGCAAGATGTTCTACTTTCTTGAGCATGTGCACATCTCTGTATCTGGAAACAGTATCCTAACACATATTATTCTAAGATACACTAATAGCAAGTGTAAATATGTACATATGCTGTATAATCTTATTTAATGGCTTCTGAATGTGTTGGTTAATTGATATACACTAATAGTTATATGATATGACATATTATTCTTGTTGGTTAATTGCACTTGAGGCTATTCCGTTTTTGGTCATTCTGCTGTCTTGTTAGAATAAGATTCCGTCAAAAAGAAGGTTATGCCTTGTTGTACATCACACTCTAAATGGAAATGAAGAACATCTCCTAATCTGGTAAGTGTAAAGTGATTCATGATCACTCTATGAGGTTATTGGGATGATGACGAAGGCGTGTGACCTTGGCAAAGTCCACTGTTATTTGAAATGTTGGGAAGGATCAACCAAAAGTTAACAAAAAATAGAATATAAATTGTGTTGATGCGAACTTCTTTCTTGAAAAAGCAGATGATGGGATATGTCTAGTTTTAGTGTTACTGTTTCGTATTTACTATTTCTTTCTTAAATATAAGATGTTTGAGTGTTAACATTGCTGGGGTTTGATCAGTCTGGCTAACATTTGCTACTAAAGGCAACAAAGAAGGAAAGATAAAGTGTAACCTAGCCTATGGCGGGATATCAGCAATGGAAGCCTGTTGCTGTAATATTGGCTGTTTACTTTGTGATTGCAGTATTAAACATCTTATTTAAGAAGATTCTTGACGAGGGTTCAAATCAGTTGGTTATAATCACATACAGACTGACTTCTGCTTCAATATTTTTGGCACCCATTGCCTACTTCTGTGAAAGGTAAATCATCTGCAAACACTGTTTGAATTGACTTATTATGTGCAACAATCCCTGATATAAATAAGTCTATAGAAAACATTGGTTAAAAAATCAATGTGGGTGCTAAGGTATGTACTATGTTTGCAGGCAAAGTGGAGTAAAGCTCACAACTTCAATCTTATGCTATACCTTCTTTAGTGCTCTCATTGGGTGAGAGAAACAGTTGTTGCTTACATACCTGATGTTGGTTTCCCCTTCCCCTTTTGAAAGAATGAAGTTTTTGTTCTTTGAGATAGCTTACTTAAACTGTGGAGAATTGGTGAATTGATGGTTGTTTTCAGGGCAACGCTCACTCAGTACCTGTATCTTCTTGGGACACAATACACATCTGCTGTATTTTCTAGTGCATTCGCCAATATGAGCCCTGTATTCACTTTCCTTTTGGCTTCACCTCTAGGGTGAGATGAAGTTTCACATTCCTAATAGCACATTTAGCACATCTGTTGTAAAAATATAATAAGTCTTAACTGCATTGAACTTTTGCAGGCAAGAGAAAGTGTACTTGAGAAGCAAACATGGGATAGCTAAAGTGTTAGGTTCACTTACTTGCATCGGTGGAGCTATACTACTCATCCTGTACAGAGGAATTCCACTGTCCACATATCATGCTAAGCATTTGAGTACGCCTTCTAAGTCTGGCAGCAAGGAAAAATGGATTCTTGGTTCAATTTTCCTTCTGTCAAGCGCCGTGTGTTGGTCTGGATGGTTTCTTATACAGTCAAAGATTGGCAAGAAATACCCACGTAAATACTCGAGCACAGCCTTGATGTCATCTTTTGGTGCTGTTCAATCAGCAATTCTATGCTTTGCCATCAACAGAGACATTGCAATATGGATTCTGAGGGGAAAGCTGCAAATCTTTACTGTGCTATTTGCTGTAAGTACGAATTATTATTTGCTGCAATCATAGTTTTTAGTCTCGATATTGTAGTTAATAAGCCAATATCAATCTTTAGCATAAATTAGTTAATCAATAATTCACTATCAAAGGTCCCCACCAATTATTTCTTTTGGGATTACTTTTAAGGATTCTCAAAATCTTCCTTTATGCACCAGAGAAACTCATCAATTTCCAAGATATTCTTTCCTGTAAGCTAAGGTTTAAGTTGATTGCATACAATTTTGTAAATAAGATTATGCTTTAAGAACATGAAGAAATCTGTTGATGTTTTTTATAAATGCAGGGAATTTCGGGGTCAGGACTATGCTATGTTGGTATGTCATGGTGCGTTGAACAGAAGGGCCCAGTGTTTACTGCAGCATTCAGCCCTTTCATACCAATTTTTGTTACCATAATGGATTTCGCCTTCTTTCATGAACAAATTTATCTTGGAAGGTCTGTTTTCTTCGCTTTGTTACATAATTAGTTGTTTCACTTCCTTTTGATCAAATTCATATTTCTCATTTTGATTTGTGTTGTTAACAGTGTTATAGGATCCATCACGGTTATATGTGGTCTATATATGCTATTGTGGGGTAAAAGTAATGAAGCGCAACATAACATCAATAGGCCAGCTGAAGCAGTGGAATGCCATGGAAATTCTGCAACTGGGATCAACATTATTTGAGTCTCCTCCAATTCAGAATGCCCCTTGTAGCTCAATTTGATGTATTTGTTCTCTAAACAATAAGATTATCAAGTTCTTTGGAAATTAGTAAAACCTGTTGGAACCATTTTGTATTGTACTTCGTATTAGTTACAATTATACAAAAGTATAGCAATAATGCTCTTTTTGAGAAAATTGCTCAATTAAAAAAAAAAAAAAAAAGCTTTCCCAGTCGAGCAATACAAAATCTACTTGTGCTACAGAGTACAGTCTCATTTTGAAGTGCATTTATATTGTTTTTTTTCCTTTTTTTTTTTTTTCTTTTTTTTTTTTTACGGGCTTTTATACTAGTATCATTTTATATATATAGATTTTGTGTAATTGGTTGAATGAGGCTATAATATATTTATTGGTTTATCGTCTACATTTGTAATCTACTCACTAAATTTTTCATAAAAAATAATAATAATAATAAAAAATCTATCCACCAAATTTTCTTGAAACTCGGAATCATATTCTTAGACTAGAGCGTAGCTTTCATTGCATTATGAGTATCTAATAAGACCAAATCTTAAGGGGTGTTCTCAAAACCTAAGATATCTTGTCTACATCACTTGCCCTTGTCGCTCCCTCTACTCTTTAAAAGGAAAAAAATTAAAGTTGTTCAACTCCGTCCTTAAATTTTCCTTACATTAATGTTGGGCATCTTGTCACCGACAAATTGGACATTTCTTTTTGCTCTTCTTCGGCTTTGTACCCTATTCTCTCCTCAAATGTTTTAGGGTCGCCCCTCGTAAAGAGGGGTCCTAATTCTATCTTTCTAATTCCTTCTTTTTTTCTTACCTTTTCAAAAAAAAAAAAGGAAAGGCCCAACCGAAGAAATAAGACAGCGGCCCATTACATTAAAACCAAAAAATCTCCAACTATCAGCTTCCACTCTTCCCCGAGTCAAACTAAACCCTAGCTAACACCTCTCCTTCCGACCTCCGTTTTCCGACTGCCATACCTTAAACCCTCCAGAATTCTAGAGAGAGAAAATGGCAGGGAACAAGAGAGAGAAAGAAGCTTCCAACAATGGCGGCGAAACCAACGGAGAAGTTGCTAAACCTTCAACTTCTACCTTCAAGAAGGAACAACTTCTACCTTCCATGATTAAGAACAAAGCCAAAAGATCTGAAATTCACGCTAAGATTAAACACGAGAAGAAGCTTGATAAGCGTAAGAAGACCAAAGCTCGTGATGCTGCTGATAAACGCGCTCTTGAACTCGGTGAAGAGGTTCTCTTTTTCTCTCTCTTCATCTCAATCGTTTGATTTCGATTTGGTGCTTGATTTAACGGCTGAGATTGATTTTGATTTTGTGGTTTGTAGCTTCCTCCAAGGCCTATTCCTCGTACGATTGAGAATACTAGGGAAGCTGATGAGACTGTTTGCAAGCCTGATGATGAAGAGGTTTTTTTTTTTAATTTATTGTCTTAATCTCGTTTATATTGCTTGAAATGTGGTTAAATTGTTGATAAATTGTTTGTCATAGTTTAATTTTTTATGTAATGTCTTGATTTTGTTTATAAAGCTAGAAATGTGGTTGAATTGTTGAAATAATGTGTGCATTTTTTGTTGCAGTTGTTTGCGGAATTGGATACTGATGAATTTAGTGCGGTTTTGAAAGGGCAGCGTGCTCAGAATGTTATGATCACTACATGCCGTTTCAACTCCACTGTATGATCTTCTCCTTTCACTTGCCGTTGTTATTACATTTGCGATTGTTTATCATGTTTGCATATTTCTTTCGCTCTAGGCTGTTGTTTTTGAATGTGCATGAGAATGATGTTAGCTTATCAATGACATGTATAGTGAAATGTGAAATGAATGATTACATGAAAGCAATGAATTAGTGTAGATAGCGCTTGGAAATACGGAGTAAGGCTATTTGTATTTTTGGGTGGTGTTACCCTATTATTGTTTTTTACATGATCCTTGTTGCTAAGTAATTTTTAATGTGTATACTTCAAAAGGAATTGTTGTTTGTGCAATTGATTCGGTGCTATTTATACTTTCAATTCGGGTACCAAAATGATTAATAATTCCTATTAAACTTTACGTTTGAAGGTAATTAATTCTATCTAGGTCTAGGCCAATTCAAAATAACTGATTACTTATGTTGTGATTTCTTTCTACCCTTTTAAAATGCTCCACAAGTTTTTGGAAATGATAGTTTTAAAAACTATTACTGGAGTTCAGAAGAATTTGTCATCTTATTTGTAAGGTGCTAATGGTTTATAGACTTATTAACATGCTCCTGCACAAGTCCAGTGATGGGAAGAGCGTGGGAATGGTCTAGCCATCACAAAGGGCTGTTTAGTAAGCTAATTTTCATGCCTTTTCCTTTATAACAAGGGGTTAAGATAATGAGCAACTATGTTTTGACATAGGAAATAGTCTTTTTTCCCCCTTTTATGTTGAGATACAATTGATGATTGATAACGATGTACGTGTAGCTCTAAACATTCATTGACTGTGATGATTGTATTCCCTCATTTCAGCTGGGCATAGCAGCTGCCTTGAGAAGTACTTCATGTACTTTGCATACTTGATGGGTGAGGGTTGAGTATGGAATAAGCATTACAATTTTTGTTCTTGGTACCTGTTTGTTGAAATACATGGAGGCAATTGCTTGTTAGGCTCCTGGCTTGCTGCATGTTGGGATGTTTCTGTGGTGTAAAGTAGCTAGTGCTGAAACGATAACGGCTTCATTTTGATGTCGATGTGATACAAAAATGTATTCATGCTTGTATACAACTGCATATATTGATACGGAGTGGTTCCTAATATATTCTGCAATTTGAATGCATATAGCCTGATTTTTATCTTTTATGCTGTCTTCAGAGAGGACCTGAGTTTATCAAAGAATTAGTTCAAGTGATCCCAAATTCCTCTTACCATAAGAGAGGAACCTACGACTTGAAGAAGGTTGGAATTTGTCTCCTCTTTTACCATATAATATAGATAACAAATTATCTTTCTCATTGCCGAATATCTTATTTTCCTGTCTTCTTTAACAACTTTTGTAGATTGTGACTTATGCAACTAAAAAGGATTTCACTACTTTGATTGTTGTCCATACAAATAGAAGAGAACCAGGTCAGTGTCGTTTTTCTCCAATCGACAGAACTAAATTTTAATATAGAAGGTTTAATCTGGCCCTTGCCCTTATCTTGTCGTCTTTTGCTTATGTGGCTGTATGTAACGCTTTGACTGGAAAGTCATATAGCTCAACGTACGCTATCAATTTTTTTATTTTTTTTTTCAGTATCTTATAATGTTTTTCTCTGATTTGGTGTCATAGATGCTCTCTTAATCATCGGCTTACCTGATGGACCAACTGCACATTTCAAGCTTTCGAAACTTAAATTACGAAAAGAGATTAAGGTTAGTCACCAGTTTTAAATATTGTAATTCTTGAATTGTAATACAAATAAAGCTAACCGCCTAATTCCCGGCTAAAAGCTTACGCTATTATTGTTAACAAGATGCTATTACAACCCTGACTTCTATTTTTTCTTTTTTTCGGTCTTTCGATAGAAAGAATAGCGTTAAATTTCGTTTTCTGGTCATCTTGTTAACGATTCCCTATATGAATGGTGCAGGTACGCACACAACACTTGACCTCATTGCTGGTAACAGTGATGAGGGGTTCCTTTTTAGTAGTCCTTTGGTTTAAGGAACGTAGTCACTCATAGCTAAAAAAAGGAAAGGCCCGGTGGCCAACTTCAAGTTAAGAAAAACATGTTTCTTTCCCACCTATAGGGTCGTGTAGGCCAGATTTACCAATAGGTACGTAAGTCTACTGGTTAGGAAACTATGCGAACCAAAGGCCTTTCTTCATTCTATAGGGCTCACATATTAGCTATATTTGCAAAATTTAACTGAATTTGTAACTCATTTGGATCTCCATTTCTTTTATGCCCTTGGCTGCACGTCAAGTTACAAGTCATACAACACAGTCGACACACATACACCTAATTTGAGATTGACATTTATAGTACTGAACTACTGACTTGCTCACCTGAGCTAAAAGGAAAGTATATTACTTTGTATTGTGCTGTTTCACTGTTCGTAGCTCTATGTGTTATTCTGGTCTGTAACTTGTTCCTTGTAAGAGTGTCCAATCATCTTGTCGGCCATCCTGTGAATATCTTTGTGTCTGAAATTTCTAATACTGATGGGTAAAGAATTATAATTCACTTTAAGAGCCTTGAAAGAGTTTCAACTTGCCTAGATTATATTCTGCGATAAAACATTTTTTTATATCAATGGATTGATAGCTTGAATAGACCTGTAATGTGACTGTATTTCCCCTCAAGTTTTATTGGTTGAGTAGTTTTGTATTGTTTAGTGCTCTCTTTTTTATGCTTATAAAACTATTTTTTTGCAGAATCATGGTAATCCGACCAGTCATTGGCCTGAGCTAATGCTAAATAACTTCACAACAAGGCTTGGGTGTCGTGTTGGAAGGTCTCCTTTATTTCCTCTATAGTACTAACATGCTAATCTGTGCTTCTAGTGACCCTTCCATTTAGGTATTATGACTGGTTTCTGACAGTTTTCCTTTCTTGTATCATTCAGAATGTTACAATCTCTCTTCCCCCAAAAACCAGAATTTCGCGGTCGTCGGGTTGTTACCTTTCACTGTCAGCGGGATTATATATTCTTTCGCCACCATAGGTACACATTGCTTGTTGCCTTGTCTACCTAGACGGTATTTATACTCCATGAAGATTCTGCTTTATCAATTTCTTGTTCTTGGTATCATGCTAGGTATGTATTTGAATCCAAAGATCCAAAGAAAGTAGACTCCAAAAAGGATCCTACTGCCGAGAAGAAGGCTTCAGATTATGTCAAGCCCCGTCTGCAGGTGTGTAATTTTTTGGTTTCATTATAATTATTTTCCTCCTCTCTTTTTGACCCCATCTCCCCCCAATTCTACTATTTTGAAATTTCATGCTGCAGCATGCCAAGTTTCATCTTAAATTTCTTTTATGGAACATAGTTCAGTTATTTTATGTGGTGATCTAGATGAGGTTAATTTACCAAATGTTATTATTCTTGAACCGTTAGTTTATATTCTATGCAGGAATGTGGCCCTCGGTTTGTATTGAAATTGAGAAGCCTGCAGCATGGCACATTTGATACTCAAGGCGGGGAATTTGAATGGACTCATAAGGTAATTTTGTTACTGCTTTTACTGTTTGAGCAGGGAAAAAAATGCTGTAAAAAGGTTCATTCTTTTTTGTGGTTAATTTGTGTATTAACTTTTTTTTTTGGCTATTTATCTGAAACAGCCGGAGATGGACACCAGTCGGAGGAGATTTTTCTTGTGATTTGCCCATTGATTTGTGTGTCCAAAGTTTGGCTCATAGGGTAATTGTAAAGCCTCAAATTTTGCTAAGTTTGCCAATGTATTTCAATTTTCTAATTATACCTTCATGAATGATATCCTGTCAATGAAAAATATGCTATTGATGAAATGACAATGAATTTTGTTTGTTTAAACATGTCGCTGTTTTTTTGCATTCTTGTTGCAAAATTATCTACTACCATCCGGGATTTGCGAGTTGCCATTGTATTGGGCAACAATAGAAGTAGTAATTTTTTTAAGAAGTTGGAGACACATCAAAACAAAAACACCACTGAAACTAGCTGCTTTTGTCCAAGATCTCATTGGTGGAGGAATGATTAGTAGATAGAAACATTCTACAGTCATTAAGATCCAACTTAAACTTTCCATAGTAAACTTCATCAACATGGTTTTCCCTTTGCTTTCTTCGGTTGTCAACCTGCCGAATATTCTGAATACCAGAGTAGCCACTACCAAAGCGGTGGTTACTGACCACCCCCTGTAGACTAGCATACCTCCCACAATTAGAGGCTGCTGCCTACAGACACAGGACAAGCACTCACCTGAGAATTTAGACGACATTAGGGCATCAAGACCCGTGTAGTAAGGCAAGATGATGGAGTCCAAATACAGTGCTGTATGTAGGATTCCTGATATGGTTGATGCCTCGAGGAACACATACTTGAAGTCGCTGTTAGTTTCAGTATTGAAGGCAAGAGCAGAAATCCGAACCACGTGGAGGATTGCAGGGCCATTGTACGACATAGGGAACACAGAGTTTACCCTGTGTCCTTTTGCCATGATGACAAGAATGATGGGTAGGAAAATAGGACCTGATGGAAGAAAGTATCTCCTTAACTGATTGAGTCGAGTAAGGGGAGTTGCCTTTCTCCTTCCTATCATCCCCACCACCATCAAAACTGTGGTTGCTAAGAACGTAATGGTGATGAAGACAATCGCCAAACTATCAACCCAAGATGGGTAATCTCCTGAATAGTTGCTGTTGCAATAGTAGTGGTTCGGACAGTTGATCGGATCTAGTGTTTCTTCCAGCTGCCATTTTGTGCACTTGAAGAAGGCCCTCTGGATATCCCCCTCCGGTATTGTAGATAGATATACCGAATTTCTTGAGGGCAGGAGTGGATTAAACATATTTTGTTAGACCTTTGCATATTAGATTACTAATTTGCTTACTCGTAGTTTGATTTATATGATTTTGCTGTCGATATAAGTTTTAACTCTTAAGGGAGAGAGGGTGGGCCTCCCCTCGAATGGTTGAGCAGTTGTTTTTGCTGAATGAGAATTGGATGAGGATTGACCAACAGCAAAAACTTGTTGAAAAAGAACCTGTCAATTGTGAGGAAGATTATTCAAAGCTATTTTAGAGACTTAAGATTGTGAAACCTTTATGATGATGGTATTATTTTACATGTATATGCTGTGAGTTATAAGGTGAGACTCTTTCTCGAGGTTGGTTATCGCATAATCGGACTTACAAATGGATGCATTATATGGATGAATCGTAATTTACCATTATATATAATATTATCCGTATTATGTCTGTTATTTTCTATCGTATCATATCAGTTGTTTTCGATTAGTTCGTTGTCAAAATTTGGGGAAGACTATACAATAATTTAATAACTCTCAGGTTTGCTGAGGTTGGGTGTTTGGCTAAGTCCTTAAGAGTGCTTGCCTTTCTATGGAAGCGATGATGTTTGTTGATGATTGCAACTGATTGTTAGCTTTTGAAGTAGTTAGAAGGTGTTTTAAGTATTATTGCTGCTGAATTAAGATGGATGATTAATGAATAAATTATTATTTCAATAAACTTGAATTTACTATCTATGAGAGGGAGTCCTAGTTAATCTCAGCGATTAATATTTACTATGTATTATTGAATTATTATTTCGATAAATTTGAAGATTAATGAATAAAGTATGGATTAATATTTTATTTATTTTCATAAAGCTATTATTTTAATAAGCAAGTAGTTTGATGAACTTTTAATCCATACAAGAAGAATTTCGTGTTTAATGTGACCACCGGCTTGGTCAAATTGAAGGTTGCTTCAAGTTACATATGTACTACTTGGTACGGAGTATCATTTTTAAAAAAATAAAATATTTGTTTGACATCGTTACAATTATTGAGAGTATTTTCTCACTTCGATTATTAGATTAATTATTTACTAATTCTTGGTTGTTTTATTTACAAGTATTTTAAAAAGAAGGATTTTTTTTTAATGTTTTTTGAAAAACGAATATTGCATGTTAATTACAACACAATATATTTCTATATTGGCAAAAACGAATGATCCTACAAAATGATATGAGATTATGAGGTGATATGGTCATAGTCATGGCACCTTTGTATTTGTTACTCTTTTCAACTATTTACTGCTTCTTAACTTTCCTTCCTTCAATCAAGGCCTTTTATTTTCACTTTATTTCTATTACATACCAATATGTGGATACTTCATTCCCTATCATTCTAAAGGCCCTGTAATTCTAGTATAGGTCTAAATGCATTTGGACCATATTCATAACGAATTCTTAAATTAGGTGTCATATTCTTGTTCTCAAGCATTTCTTTTGTGCTACCTTTGTCAAGTTGTTTATATATTGAAAATGATCCTACAAAATGACATTAGTTGATACGGTCGTAGTCATGGCAGCTTTGTATTTTTTTCCAAAAATTATACACAAATATTAGCAACTCAATTAAAAAAATCAAATTCATAATAACAAACAAATTAAAGATGCAGCAACTCAGTAATTCATCACAAAAGCTCATTAATTAAATTAATATTCATAAAAAATTCAAAAATTGAGTTGAAATAGTCTAATTTACTAGACTCGTCAAAAAATCAATTGAAATTCATCAAATTCCTCAAATTGAAATTCACCAATTATAAAATCAGAAAAATCAATTACGAAATCACCCCAAATCTAACCTAATTAAAAATCAACAACACAAAAACTAACTTGAATTGATGATTTCTTTTGAATAACAACCAAATCTATAATAATGTAGAAAACAAAGGAAAAAGAAAATGGTGACGATCGCGACGAAGATAATGGAGAATGCTACAGTAATAATGAATTGGAGAATATCCAAAGTAGCAGAATTAAAAAATTTAAAGATTGAAGGAAAGTGAGGTAAGAAAGAAAATTTACTTATAAGGAAAGAAAAAAAAATTAATGGAGAGGAAAACAGAGAGAAAAAATTAATGGAGGTAAGGAAGAAGAAGAAGAGAAAGGTAAATAGAAGAAAAAAGGAGTGCTTTCCCTAAATAATGTTGGGAAATTCTCTAATTCCCAAAGTATAACCACTTTTTATTTTTTAATTCTCAATCTACCGTCTACGTCAGCGCAGGGAAAAAAACCGTTTTTTTTTATCGGTCCGGTAACAAACCGCTACTTGATGTAACGGTGTTTTGGGTATAAACCGCTACTTCAAGTAGCGGTTTCAATTTCATACACCGCTACTTGAAGTAGCAAGTAGCGGTTTACACCCAGAACACCGCTACTTCAAGTAGCGGTTTATAATATAGAAACCGCTACTTCAAGTAGCGGTTTTGTTGTTGTAAATTTTTTAAAAAAAACATCAGTAAAATATAAGGAGAAGGGGAAAGGGATGTTGTTAAAAAATTGACCACCACAACTTACCCCACCTCCACCCACCACCACCCCACCTAACACCGTACCCACCCACCCTGTATACCTTGACCACCACCCTCCACCACCACCCACAATATAAAATAAAATAATAATTAAAAAAAGAAAACCGTCTACCTTGACCACCACCACCACAACCCAGTACCCCCACCCTAACCGAACCCAGTACCCCCACCTTAACCCACCCAAATCCAGATCTACCACCCAAACACACCTAAACCAAACCCTGATCCACAACCCTAACCAAACAACCACCCAAAAATTAACAAAAAAAGAAAAAAAAAATCAAAACCACTACTACTGCCGAAAACCTAACAACTCAAAAATTAACAAACAAAAAACAAAAAAAAAGAGAAAGAAAATTAAAATCAAGAAAACACACATTAACACCAAAATTGGATATTAATTTCCCATCGAATTTGGTTTAATACGGCCAAATTCGACCATGAAACCTCTACATACCTCTAGATGTAGAGGTTTCATGGTCGAATTTGGCCGTATTAACCATGCGACGACGCCGGCGAGAAGGAAGACAGACAACACCTCCAAGGAGCGTAGGTTGCGTAGTGGTGGTGGTGTTGGTTGCGCAGCGGCGTGGGTTTTGTTGTTGGTGTAAGAAGGAGAAGGAGAAGATAGGAGAAGTGAGAAGGAGAAGAGAGGAGAAGAGAGGAGAAGAGAAATGACGAGAATGGCGGAGGAAAGAGAAGGAGGGAGGAAAGAGAAGGAAAGAGGAGAGGAGTTAAGAGGAAAGAGGAGAGGAGAAGAGAGAGAAAGAGAAGAGAGGCGGAGAGAGAAGAGGAGAGGAGAGGAGAAGGGGAAAGTGAATTTGTAAAAAAAAAAACTTAGTAAATACAAACCGCTACTTGAAGTAGCGGTTTTTAATAAGAAAACCGCTACTTGAAGTAGCGATTTTATTCAGTACACCGCTACTTCAAGTAGCGGATTGTAAAAAAAACCGGTTTAACAAAATTTTCCATTGAATCGAGGTGACGTAGACAATACAGTGAAAAAAAAAAAAAAAAAAAAAAGTAGTTGTATTTTGAGAATTAGAAAAATTCCCAACATTATTTAGGAAAAGCGGTTGTTCGTTTTTAAAGTATTTTAAGATACTGAAATTCCAATCTTATACCCGTCATTTCAAATTCCAATATTCATAGTAAAAGCCCAAGTCTCTCTCTCCTCCATTGTAGCAGATTCCTCCATTAAAGCAGCTTAGCAAGCTCTCTCCGCCATTGAAGTAGACTAGTGAGCTCTCTCCTCCATTAAAGCTCTTTCTCCTCCGTCGAAGTGTAGCAGCGTCGCGTGTGAGCTTTTTCTCCTCCATTGAATCGGCTTCTTAGGTAGTTTTTCTTAAATAATCGAATATCAAATTCATAATCTAGGGTTTATCGATAATTGCTGCTGATTTTTTTGCCCTTTTTTTGTTCATTTTACTATAGATTTAATTGATTTCTGGGGTAAAACGCTAGTATTTAAGCGCACTCTAGGTGTTCGATGAAATGCTGAAGTGAGAAATTGTTTACAAACTAGTATCTCTGCTCTCTGAATTGTAATTATTCTGCCTGTTAATAACTTATATTGTAATTATTCTATGATAAAAATTGTGTTTTTGCCCCTGATTATATGTTGTCATTTGAGCAATGTGATTTTGTGCTTTCTGATTTGTTGGTGTCAGGTGGTTTTTTTTTGGGATGATGACATTGTTTTTGTTCCTGAGGATTTGGTGGGTGTTTTGTCTAAGTATGACATGAAAAGTAGTACTCGTATTACATTGGGAGTAATTCCGAGAGTGGTTGATTAAGATTAGTTGTATCTTCTGTTTGTTTACACTAATAGCCTATTACAATGTTGATATTTGGTTACAGTGTTCTGTGCTCCCCAAATGCTGCTGGATTGCATTGTGCTCTGGTTTGGCTCATTTTAGGAATGTTGGAAATTTGACTGTTCTTATTTGAAATGCTATGATCACAGATCTGTTGTTTATATTTTGTACTAGCTAGTTCTAATTTTTTGGATGAAGTTGCACTATTGTATGTAATGAATGTCGTAATGGCCATGATTGTTGATGTAATGCATGAAATGCCAGGCCACTTCCAAAATGAATTCTTGTGCCACGGGAACCTAACTTGTCATGATTTTGTGCAATGTGATTTTGTGCTTTGATTTGTTGGTGTTAGGTGGTTTGGTTTTGGGGATGATGACACGTTTTTTATATCTTGACTGCGTATACAGACTTATTCAATTATCATGGAAGATGCGGTAAGGAGAAACAGTTCTATCCAACAATTCAGAACATCGATTCCTCCCAGTGCTGGACGTGAAGATAGGTTCTTGTTCAATGTTGATTTAAAACAAGAAAGTGATGCATCAAATCAGATTTTACGCAAAATTTTAGAGTCGGTAGACTTCAAGATAGTTGGTGCACTAGAAAAGCTAGATGAAGTTGAGGCATGGAGAGCAGAATCACTCTCAAAGATGGTGCTTACAGATAGTGAACGTGCACAACCTTCGCCACTAAGGACGGAAGGGTTTGATAATCATAATCGACAAGTTTTCTACTTGAAGGTGATGTTGGTTGACAAAAAACGTGACACTAACATCCTTTTAAAGGTTTTCTGCACTGAATTAGGAAGATTAATGGAACAGTGCAAAGATTTCTTTTTGGTCGTCGATTTCACTGGCGGAAATACTCATATGCAAAGGGTGCATGTTCATGAAGCTCTTAACATAATTCAAAAATATTATCCAAGATTTATTATGGATGAGGTATGTTATTTAATTAACAAGTATTATATGTTGTGTTTTTCTTTTTAAACATGTGTTAATAATATATATATTTTTCTTTTCTCATGTTCTATTGGTGAAGCTCTACATCGGTGAGTTTTATTATAGTATTCCTTTGAACATGGCCAAGGGCAAGTATATTGTATCTTTAGACCAGGCTCCATATCAACTTTTCAGGTACAGTAAGTTTTAGGTTTTTTTTATTTATTTATTTATATATATATATATAAAAGCTTTTACATTTGTGTTTTTCAACTTTATCCTTACGTTTTTTTTTTTTTAATTTTTTTTTTTATTAGAATTATTCCGGCTCATCACGTCCCCGTTGAATATGGAGGTATTCCTTCCATCGTCCCCGTTGAAGGACAAGAAAAGGTAGACTCGGGGCATGTCGACATTGTTCATTTAATTTATTCACTATCGCACTTAGAAATAATTGCAAGTTCAAACCATCACCTATGTAGGTAGTCGTATTAAACTACTAATCAAAGCAAGAGTTTTAGTCCATAATTTCTTTTCTTTAGTCCGTGGTAGACTCTATCAATAATAGTCACTGCATAACACAAAGAAGAAAATCACAATTATGCTCAAGACTAAGTGTGCCTAACATCACCACTAAATAGGCAAAATAAATGATTAACACACCATGTATATTTGTGCAATGTAAATAACAAAAAGCAAGATTAATATAAGTATAGAATTGAACCAGTTGAATCAATAATCTGAATATTTATAATCTGAATGGTTTATCCACAGTTTGAAAAATGGATCAAAATTAATTTTTTCGTGTTTATTAAACTGTAATTTTAAACAATGTGATGGATAACAAAAACCTGAAATTGTATGTGAACTAGGTAAGACAGAGAATATATTTCATAATTATAATTCATAGTCATTTGTAGGTGACAAGCTTAAATATATAGATGATAGATCGTACACGAAAGATGTTAAAAAGCGCACTCATAATACTCAATTGGTTACATTTCCTTTGACCAAAATTAATGAAAATATATGATCATAACAAGAGTATTTATAAAGTTATGTTCTTGGCGTATAGACTAGATGATGCAGTATAACTATGGTGTAATTCACTCATTCAAAAATGTGCCAATGAGAGAAAACTTATTTACCTATTTTAATTTATGGGCCTGTGATATTTTCTTCTTTTGTTTAATTTGTATTTTATTTTTTATGTTACTTTTAGGCTGAGATATATTACATATATAGGTTGGGTTTGACACTTGGACTAGTAGGATGTGGCCATGTCACTGTTTATTATTTTGTTGTTTTTACCGTGTATATATATATATATATAACCAATTTAGCTTGTGCTATAATGAGATGGACAAATATGGATGTTTTGATGAGCTGTCTTGTCTAATGATTCTAGGATTGTGCATGATTTTGGGTCGGGTTTGAATACCTAATAATATCATCGATTCTGATGCTTGATTAAGTGTTAGATTTAAAAATCTACAATATTGTGGACCTATTAAAGATCAAAGCACTGAATGCTTGACTCCATGATGTAGTTGTGGTGGTTATTGAGATTCATTCTATGAGTGTAATATTAGGTAATACTGTAACAGGATTAAGGTAGATAAATATGATTAGGAGATATAATAATTTAGGAATCTTGTATGATTAGAAGAGTTTGATTGGAAAACAAAAATTGTGAAATCATACAAATATGTGATTGATTAATGATAAAGTGTGACTAATATTGAGATTAATGAAGATATATGATCATAGCAAGAGTATTTTATAAGATTATGTTGTTGGCGTATATCCTAGATGATATAAATATGGTCTATGGAGTACTTCACTCATTCAAAATCACAAGAATTTACCCAGCAAAAAAGAGATTTTAAAACATTTCTACAAGTAATTGCTCACTCACCTAAGCACCCTCCTCATATCAGGGTATACCTACAATTTAATGTACTACACACCTAACACATGTATGCTTTAGATGAGTTAATACAAAATTACAGGGAGTATCTTATTTGTTTTTTTTTTTTTTTTTTTTGAGGAAGAGTATCTTATTTGATTAATTTTTTTCTATAGTTTTTTTTTATTATTATTATTTTTTTAGAATTTGTTAATTACTTTAATAATTATTTTTTATAGGGGTCTATAGTGACCGTCCGAGCGCGAGTGATTGGGTGGGAGGTTTCTTTCGGTGCAAGGCTTGTGCCGACAGACCCATCCGTCCGACCTACCATTTACCCCCTTCTTCTACGCGAGTTCAACTTTATGCCTTCAGACGGCGATGATTACGAGGAGATGATTTTAGACAATGTTCCCTTCAATGGCAAGATTTGTATTGAAGTTGAAAACAGTAGTTTTAAAACAAAAAAATTAGTGTATTTGTGTTTTGCCCGTAGGCAGAGTAGTTAGTGTATGTGTGAGATTTGATTTTAATTAGTATCTTATGTTTTATTTAGGTACCCACTTGGTTTTATCCTACGTTGGTTTTACAAATGGGTTTTATTTATTGTATTGTGTTATTGAACTTATTTTAGATGTTATGTATTTTATTTTAACTGGTTGTTAAAAACTCCATACTAATTATTAAGGAAATGTGTTAATTATAATCATTTAGTTTGCAACGTTAGGCTAAAACATTGATTAATCATCTGGTATGTTTTTTTTTTTTTTTTTTTTTATTTTTTATTTAAAGGTAAGATACAATGGGAGATTAGGTTCGTCTTCTCGCAATACCGAAACCTAATCTATTTAGAAATAAAAAATAAGAAAATTTGCTATCCATGAAGGGTAACATTGAGACTCTAAGAATAACCTCCAAATATTAATGAAGTTTTAAAACACCTACCGAAATAACACTTTGGAACACTTTTAATAGCTAGCCACACGGCCCACACAATATGACCAACCATATACACGAGTAATAGTAAATAGATTTCGTAAAAAAAAAAATCAAAAAATAGGTTAAATGTATAATGTGAGTTTTTTTTATTATTATTTTATTTGGGTAAATACATAAACCGAGCTTCATGCTGTCTCCTAAACTCTCTACCACACCGCTTTCATCTAAAACCTCACTTTCTCTCTCTTCATCTCCCTTCTCTTTCTCCCTCTACAAACCCACCATTCTTCCCAAGTTTTCTGCAAATCAATGGAAGCTTTTTAAATTTAAAAAACCCAATTTATTTTATTACTTATTTAAACTTGTACTGCTGAAAACTCTGGGGCCATCTTCTTTAATTTTTAATTCCGCCTAAAACCCTAAAGTCCGCCGTTGCGTAAAACCCCTTCTAGTATATATTTTCTCTCTCCTCCTCATCCCCTTTTCTTCTTCATCTTCCCGCCCTTTCCCTTTACAATTGGACCTTTTTCTGCCATTTTTGGGTTCTTCTTCTTCATGATTTTGTTGGGTTGTCATTAAAATTCTGCAAAAAGTTGCAGGAAATGCTAATTTTGTCTTCCAATGCAGAAGCTACTGCGTCGCAGCCCACCTGGCTCTCCCCTCCTTCTCTGTTCTTCGTCTTCATCTTCTTCGTCTGTTAATCCCCTTTTTATCTCTCCTTATCCTTCAAAAACCCTCAAAAAAACCTGTTTTAAACCCCTTTCTATCTCCTCCAATTTCCCACTAGGGTTTTACGCTAAACCCACCTCTGTTATTGCTTCTGAATTCATGCCTGTTTCAAATACCGCCGTTTTTTACTCTCGCCCTTGTATTAATTTCATCCCCACTTCGTCGTTTTCCACTAAAGCTTCTTCATTCTCTTCTCAGAGATTTTCCGGCGGAGGTGGGAGTTGCCGGGTATGCCGGTGTTCGGTTGAGGATGGGCGGGAATTACAGCGGCCGTGGGTTGTTTTGAAGGGAATGCGAAACGGGTCACGCTTAGCTTGGCTGCACAATGCTGCTGGGAATGGAGATGATAAGGGTATGGTGGCGGATGAAGTTGAAGCTGAAGCCGAGGCGGATGAGAGGGAAGATAAGGCGGAGGAAGGCGAGAAGCCGGCGAAGATGCAACGGAGAACAAGGGGATTAGGTGGTAATAGCTCGGTTTCCGGGCTCGTGGAAACCCCTGATTTGTTGACAATACCGGGTGTTGGACCGAGGAATTTGAGGAAGCTGGTTGAGAAGGGTATTGGTGGTGTTGCTGACCTTAAGCAGCTGTATAGAGATAAGGTTACTGCTCTTATCTTTAAGCTTTGTTTCTGTATTTGTTTTTGTCTCTGTTTGTGTTGAGATTAGTTTAATTTCTGCTAATTATGGGACTTTTTTTTTTGTGTCAATTTGTTTGATAGATAATGTGAAATTAAATATGGGTATCAAAGTATAATTTGTATGTATCGATTCGAGGTTCTAGTTGTGTTTAATGTGGATTGATGTTGTGGGTGTAAGATTGTGTGTTGATTTCATTTGAGAGCTATGAACTTCTAAGCCTTGTTAAAGTTGTTTAACTTATTTGTAGCTCTATATTGAACTTATTGCTCTAAGCTGAACTTGGTTGAGTTATCAGAACTTATACTCTTTGTAAGGAAATAAGAGAGGACCTAGTTTGTTGATGCATGTATTATTGGTAACGGGTATGGCTAAGTACAACTAAATCTTGCGAAGCTAATGTGGAACCTCATCCAACTTGGATGCTCGTCCATATGTCACTTGTTTAATGTTTTGTTTTTGCAATCCTTTATTTATTTAATTGTATCATTGTTTTATTTCAACAGTTCTTTGGCAAGTCCAATCAGACGATGGTTGAATATCTACAGAGTTCAGTGGGAATTATTCACAGGAACCATGCTGAAAGTATAACTACCTATATCAAAAAGAGTGTAGATGAGGAATTGAAGGAGGACGGATCTGATTCGGGCATTAGATCACATAACAGAATCACCCTCTGTGTGGAGGGGAATATCAGTGTTGGAAAAACAACCTTCCTGAAAAGAATAGTTAATGAAACAGTTGAGCTACGTGATCTTGTTGAGATTGTTCCTGAGCCCATTGATAAATGGCAAGATATTGGACCTGATCACTTTAATATTTTGGATGCCTTTTATGCTGACCCTCAAAGGTATGCCTACACCTTTCAGAATTATGTATTTGTTACAAGGGTCATGCAAGAGAGAGATTCATCTGCTGGAATCCAGCCCTTGAGGCTGATGGAGAGAAGTATCTTCAGCGACAGGATGGTAAGGACTTCAAGAATTTTAACTCTGTTTTGAATTAATCTTTATGAATGCCGTGATTAGGATGTATGTGAAGTAATGTATCAATTGATTTAAATCTAGGATAATGCTGCAAGTGAATGGGATTATGGAGAGGCATTGATCATTGTAGTTGGAACTTGGAACTATTAAGTAACTTAAAATTGATTATGTCATCAAGTATGAGTGTCAAATACTTAGTTATTCTCACTGTTGCTTGCTGTAGGTTTTTGTACGAGCAGTTCATGAAGCAAAATGGATGAATGAGATGGAGATAAGCATATATGACTCTTGGTTTGATCCAGTTGTTTCATGTTTGCCGGGGCTTATTCCTGATGGTTTTATCTACCTTAGAGCGAGCCCTGACACATGCCATAAAAGAATGATGCTACGTAAAAGAGAAGAAGAAGGTGGAGTTAGCTTGGATTATCTGCGAGGTCTGCATGAAAAGCATGAGAGTTGGCTTTTTCCCTTAGAAACTGGAAATCATGGAGTTGTGTCGGTCACTAAGCCTTTCTTTCAATTAGATAGTACTACATATCCTACTATAAATGAACGTGTATGCTTCCTGGAGGGTGCTCACATGCATTCTAGCATTCAAAAGGTAATATCATGTACATGTCTCTCAGAGCCCCTCCCCCTCTTTTCCATGATAAACCGCAATTCCGAGATACAAACATGCAAAATAAAAACTAAAGAATCTCCCCTTGTTTGTTGCCATGCAGGTTCCTGCTTTAATTCTTGACTGTGAGAATGACATTGATTTTAACAGAGATATTGATGCAAAGAGAGAGTAAGACTCTGTCTATTGTCATTCCTTAAATGCTCCGTTTCTTGATTGTTTTCTCAGCTGATTTATGGAATAATTGTACTTGGCTAATCACTTTTTTCTGTAGAATCTGGATATATGATTGTATATGCCTGTTGAAGAGTACTTAAATTGTGTTTTCATATGCTTTGTAGACTGAGCAGGTTGTCCCTATACTTTACCGTAGATGGAACACCTTTTAACAATATCTTTGTTACTGGTTAACATCAGAAAATTTCTGTGTGCCTATGCCTGTCAAAGATTAACACTATCCTTTATGCATTCAAATTCATAATATTACGGCACTGAATGCTCCTTTCACATGCTAAATATGTTCAATTCATAATCTTCTGCAGCTATGCCCGACAAGTTGCCGAGTTTTTCGAGTTTGTGAAGAAAAACAAAGAGCTTCAACCTCTTCCCCAAGCTGGTGAAGAAGCTGGCAAGCCACAGGTTCTTCTTCCCAATAAGGATGATCTATGGGTGCCTGGAGGAAAACATTTTCCCAAGTCAGCTCTTCAATCCTTGGATTTTAGGCAGGCGATGTCACTATTCTCTGGCTAATGTCTCTCCAATCAGTCTTGCTGAACTTTTAGAGGTGTTGAGAGGCACCAATTTTGTGTAGTATGGAGCCTTAAGATGACACTGCTTTCTACGTGTTAAATGATTTGTTCTAACCCTTAACCTTTGTGTCGGAGAGATGTAGATAGGGTTGTTGTGGTCGTGGCCTCGTGGGTGCTGTGATGTTCGTTGGATGTTTATCTGCCTCTTTGTTCAAGCATTGTTCATAGTAGATGGTTTGATTAATAGATGTTATGTTCTGTACATTGTAGAACTTCACTTTCCTGCTGTGCAGGTGGTAGTTCAAATCGCAGCTTGTTGGTAGACTATTTCATTGCGCGTAGAATAACATTTGGTATAGTTTAAAGATGTCTACATTATTGATGCCATTTCTTTGCTTTGTATAAAGATGATAATTACTTCTGAACCTCCTACTCCCCCTAAATGGTTGCGGATTCTATTAAAAACAATACGAATAATAATAGTAACAAACATGCATTTCGGTTAAAATCAGTAAACAATTACTATCACAGGAAAAAAAAGAAGATAAAATTCATTAAAACAATTGCAAAGATCTAAAGTCTAAGTTCTAAGTATATTACAGAGTGCATTATTTGTCAAAGTTGTAATCCTGCCTTATTTTATTTTATTTGTCTTTTGAGGTAAATTAATAAAAGTTGGCAATCAAATAATGGAATGTCCACTCTAAGTGGCAATTATTGGAAAAGCACAAACTGTGCAAATATAAGTAAATGTGTATAAGATTTCAGTCTTTCAGACGATCAGTGAATAGAGTTGCTCAACAAATAACCGATTAAATTCTTGTGAAAATTCTAATCATTTTTACTCCAGAGCACACTTCACTAAATAATAATTTTAGAATTTAAAAAAGCATAAACTGCGCAAATTTAAATGAATATTTTTCTTCTGCCATAAATTTGTTTTTTTAAGATTACAAACAGTCAAACAAGGTGTATTATGTATGCATTGATCAATGGTCTTCATGATGTTCAACAATAGAGAAAGACAAGCATTTTTATTCCAGAACACAATTCAAATAATACACCTCAAAATTTCAACACAAGTACAAAAAAAATATAGTATTAACTTCACCGACTGTACAGGTAGGATATACACAATTACTTTCTCACATAGACACAGAGTTACATTTTCATAACTTAATAGAAGGCCATTGGGCATCTAGACAGTAATTAACTCGTGTTAATGCAACTATATCATACAAATGTAATACCATTAGCAACTAAAGATGGTCTGTTGACGCCAAAGAATCTCATCATGTTGGAGCCGAGTTTAGGAGGGTGATATGACACGTCTTCTTATTTCTGTAACTTTTCTGTTTAGAAGGAAGCTTCTAGCAGCACTGAACCAATCACAAAACAGTAACACAATGGAACTTTGTATAGAATCATGAGATTCCAAGATCAAATGATGGAGGATTTACAAGAGCAGAGTCCTGTGGCAAGGGTTCGGATATTTTTCTTCTTTGCACAGATGACCCTGTTCTTTGACTTAGAAGTTTTGCTGCCTGGGCCTCCAATTCATCAAGATCAAGGCCTTCATAAAATTGATCATCCAAGAAAGAAGCACATCCTGCATCAAAACCATTGCATTGATATGATAACGGTGCTTCTCTGCTTGGAAGTGCTGAATCAGAGCAGAACTCCTTCTCCAGGTTCTTTGCAGGAAGAGTAAAAGCTCTGTTTGAAATCATTTTTCTTTTTAAACTCTCAGTATTAGCCACATTTACCAAAGTGTTGCTACTGCTGTTTTTTATATCTTCACATGCTATCAAATTCAAACAAGAACCTACTGAGTACTTTGTAGATATATTTGGAGATTTCAAACAGCCTTGAGGAGTTTGTAGAGTGCAAGTCTTCCCAAAGGATTCTCCAACTTCTGTCATTGTGGTAGCAGAAGGCAGAGACTCTGGAGTTACTACACTAGAATGTCTCTGCTGTTCTTGAAATGGTGATTGAGTGAGTAGGGAACGCCTGTTTCAAATGGGGATCATAAAATGTTAAATGGTATGACTTACACTCTAAGGGGGCGTTTGGTTCGGAAAATGGAAATGGAGTGGAAAGGAAACAAATAAGAGGGGGGAAAGAAATCATTTAGCTATTACCTTTTCATTTCTTTGGTTTAACCATGGAAAGGGTATTTGTTAAGAGGAGGGTAAGGGTATTTGTTACCCAAGTTTTTTAGAGGTAACAAATGAGGGGTAACCATTACCCTTAGGTAATGGTAATTGTTATCATGCCTTCAAACCAAACACACGATAATGGTATCGGTTTAATCGAATCCGTTTTCAATCCAAAAGATACACTAACCAAACGTCTCCTAAATTACTAGCATTTAAACCCACTTTGAGCAAATTTTGGCATAAAGCACAAGAATATTGAGCAAAAGGCACAGACTTGCAATCATGTTTATGGTAGTTTTATAATACACCCAATAATTGCATGTGTGATTATATAACAACTAAGAACATAACCGTTAGCTTCACACTATATGGGCCTTAACTAGTGACCATCCATGGTGTTAAGAGGTTGTTCTTACATATATATATATATATATATATATATATATATATATATATATATATATATATATATAAAGTTATGCATAGGCAGACAGTCTTGAGTTTATAGGAAGAACCTGTAAATTGCCATCATATCCATTTTACTATCTTCTGTTTGACCACTACCAACTGCTGGATCAGTTTGGTCATCTATAAAACTCTCTTCATAAGCATCGCTATCTTCATTATTAACCTCATCTTCTGAATCTGGTACCGCATCTTCCGAGGACACCCTGAGAATCAACAATTAAATTAAGTCAAATTGGTTTCCAACAACACTTGCATTACCATTAAATTTTAGATCCTCTCACAGGTTAAATTACACTCTGTAATAGTCCACATATCCATTAAAGCTTCAAATTTATTTATTTTTTAACGGAATATAAGCTGCATTTTAGGACAACTGGAATATTAAAAAACATTTTAATTAAAATTATTCACTTTTTTTCTTAAAAAAAATGTATGGGGGGAGGACAAAGGGGTGGCATAGAAATTTCAACTATTCACGTACTCAGCTTCTTCATCAATGAAGTCTCTGGCATCTTCAAATGGTTTTTTCACTGCAGCAATAGTAATCAATGAAAGAGGACTTGTTAGTATGTCAGAGAGAGATTTCATTTCATACTTGCATACATGCAAGCATCAGAGGAGATGCATCCCTGCAAAAACTTAGGCTGAGACAATCTATTCACATTCACAATATGATAAGGAGGGTAGTAAAGCCAACAATTAGTAATTTACTAGATTAGCTCCCGTGCGATGCACGGATATAATGAAAAAAAAGAGCTATATAAAACAATACTCTGTAAAAAAAGCGTACAATAATGTTTGATTAGGTAAAGGGTTGTCAAAAGGCTTTTTTTTAAAAAAATGTGAAAAGCTTAATATACTGTATTCTATATTAAAGTATTTTGCAGTCAATATTTAGTTTTTTCCATAAAAAAATGTGGAAGAGAAAAAAAAGTTTAGGCGGGAAAAAAATTAAAGGAGAAGCTGACACATGTACAATTTGTGAAAAGGAATGATGTCAGCGATTGTTCTTTTAGTATTAGTTAGATAGGATACCTTTGTTATGCCTGGTCTTATGAAGATCATCAGTGACTTTAAATGCAACTTCTGTAGAGGAGCGAGTTGACTTTTCTTTTACACTAATTTGTTGCTTCTCTTTGACAAAATCCCCAATCCTACGCAACCTTTTCAATCTAAAAGGACGTTCACTGGACCCAGACTCTTTTCCAGAACTCATATGCCAATCTTCGTCACAACTGCTATTTGTTATATTTCGCAAAGGAGTTCGAAATTCTGGGGAAGATGGGGGCTGAAAGGTGCCTCCCAATTTCAAGAGACCATCAGGTAGTCCCAATGGCATTTCATTCCCAACAGGAGGTCTGACCTCTCTTGTCTGAGGGGAAGAGCTAACAGTAATCTCTTTACTAGCAATAGTTAACAAATTTCCACAAGCTTTGGGATATGATACCGGCTCTGGGACACGATTTTCATCTTTCTCTTCATCACTGTGACAGTCTACAACATCATCCTCTTTCTTAGATACTACAATACCTTCACCTGCAGATAGTGAGTAGAGGTATACAAGAAGTTCATGATTTCAAAAAAAAAAAAAAAAACTATTTACATTTCACAATATGATAAGGAGGGTAGTAAAGCCAACACATAGTAATATATAGGATACCTTTGTTATGCCTGACAGTCTTATGATGATCATCAGTAACTTTAAATGCAACTTCCACAGAGGAGTGAGTTGGCTTTTCTTTCACACTATTTTGTTTTTTCTCTTTGGCAAAATCCCCAATCCTGCGCAATCTTTTTAATCTAAAAGGACGTTCACTGGATCCTGACTGTTTTCCAGAACTCCTACACCCAATTTCTGCACAGGTGCTATTTGTTATATTTCGCAAAGGAGTTTGAAATTCTGGAGAAGATGGGGGTTGAAAGGTGCCTCCCAATTTCAAGAGACCATCAGGTAGTCCCAATGACATTTCACTTCCAACAGGTCTGACCTCTCTTGTCTGAGGTGATGAGGCAACAGTAATCTCTTTACTAGCAATAGTTAACAAATTTCCACGAGCTTTAGGAGATAATACCGGATCTTGGACATGACTTTCATCTTTCTCTTCACCACTGTGCCAGTCTACAACGTCGTTCTCTTTCTTAGATACTATACCTTCTCCTGCAGATAGTAGAGGTATACATGAAGTTCATGATTTCAAAAAATCTGAAGACATGAAAACTTTGCTTTTCACAATTTCACCTACCAGCATCACTCAAAGGAGACTCTGGAACAACACCACTTTCAATAAAACTGGTTAGACGAGGACTGAAATCAGAGTATGCGTTATCTAAGTCACATTCTGCAGCCGGCGTAGCTGGGGATTTGGGTTCAGTTGCATCAGCAGTCTCACATCCAATACTTTCATCTGCACAAATCTGGTCATCAGGTGGGGTATGGACAGTTATTGCATCCACTTCAGCTGCGTCAAAATTCTTGTCACCAGCTGGTAAGTGAGACCCAACTCTTGAATGAGCTTCACATACATCTTGAGCGGAAGAATCCAGCATTGTAAGTTTGTTAGACGGAAAAATAGCTGGAAGTGGGACTGCAATTTCCAGTAATCTATCAGGAGAATTGAGCATGTGCTTCTCCTCAGCCATTGAAGGGCCAAATGAAGAGACCTCAGAGTTGGATTTTTCTTTCAGTGCAGCAGAATTATCTACAGGATCAAGTATATCTGCACAAGAGTTTGTTTTCATCAATTGCCAATGTTTTCCTGCAGCACATGCATTAAACAGTTAAAATTACACGTAAAGTCCCAAGAAAAACCAAAATTTCTAAAAGCCAAGTTCTAGTGGTGGGGTTAGATGTAGTGGTTGTGAGAGTAAAGTTGTGGTCCCCACAACCAATAATAGTAGGGGGGCAAAATTAAAGGGACGGGCTAAAAAGGAAAATGGGGCATATATTGAGGGACAGGGAGTATATGTTTATAAATTTACAAAAGTGTATTACCTCTTCCGTTTTTGGTATGTTTTTCAACGCTCCCAGTTATCAAGGATCGAGTACTCCTCGAAAACTGCGATATAAAAATGAAAGCTAAAGCATAAGGCCATAGCTGATAAAATGATTTTTTTTTTATTTAATAAAAAAAATGTGCTGTACAAAGACCGTAGATGTAGTCTGTAGACGTACATCAAGCCCAAAATTTTCGCCAGTATCGGATGGCAACCCTCGAAGAAGCTGCATTGCATCAATGAGCCATCCGGTTCGAGATGAATGCATTATTCTGTGCACCCTGGAGGGACACGTCTGGAAAAAAGGAAAGGCAACTAGAGATGGTTTTATTGCCTCATTAGACAAAAAGTATTTTCCTAACAATGCAGATTCAGCTTCAGTGAGCCTTTCCCTGAACTTTGGTTGTTGGGGGGAATCAACTTTAACCTTTTTCACCGGACGAATAAATTTTTCAATTGATAGTTCTACAAATTGCAGTTCTGGTTTCAGATGATGAGGAAGCTGCAGCAGATCACGCAGAAAATAAGAAAGTACAGACATCAGATCAACAGCTGAAACATGCAATCTACAGGAATGCCTGTGGTTAAACTTACCATCCTTGGGCTGCAATGAAAAGTGAAACTATTCATGCCCCCATTTCGCATGTGCTTCCCAACTGTCTTACCAGTTGCTAGTTTCCGCTTGTAACCTTTTAGTTCAGTACCCTCACAAGCTAATACAAGTAATGCAGGTCAAGGATCACAAACACTCTCAAGCATTAACAAAACTCATAGGCATCAAGCACGAAAGAAACCATAAAGAGAAAGGGATGTACTCAATGTAGTCAAGGATATCAACTCGACCATCATGTTTCCTTCCTGTTCTTCCCATCCGCTGAATCATCCTCAAAGGAGATATATTAGCATCAAAACATATCACAAGATCAACTTCCATAATATCAAGCCCCTCTTCACCAATTGATGTGGCAACAATAACATTGAATCCACCCAAGCGGAATTTCTGTCCCAAGGGGCAAAGCAATTATAAGATTGAGTGCAGAAAATCTAGAGATTATGTTGCATGCTGATTGTTACCTCAAGAACTGCCTGTTGAACCTTTTGCGACTGGCCTTTCAATGTTTTTCCTGGAAAATAGCATATTATTAAAGATCCACTTCAGGAAAGAAATAATAAATTTTAATTCCACAACAAAACAAGAGGACATACAGAAAAGAAACCAAAACCAGTGGCATTATCAAAAATTAGAAATCTGTAAAATTCTGCACCAGTAAATTGAGATAGAGCTCTTTTAAAACCATTCATCAGAATCAATCAGAGAAGCAAAATATGGCAAAGAAGCAATCTCAGTGAACCTCAAATTCTGCCCGGTAGGCTAAGAGCCTTATACTACTTGGATCAGAGATAGAAGACAATGAATTTCATATAAGTGATCATAGCACCTAGAGTGCTTTGAAAAACTACACGCAGAATATCCATATACCCTGACAGATTCAATTCCATCTGACATTATACTCATCTGAAACTTCCCACCACACACAACTCCAGAGAGAGTGAGGCAAGCAGCAATTAAAGTCACTTTATGGTTACATATAGCCTCAAGAGAAAATTGTTCAAACAGGAACAACTCTCGGAATTTTGAAACCAATTGCAATGATAATAATGTCAAAAGCAAAGTCATGAAATCCTTATTTATGTACAAAAGAAGCCCAAGGCCTCCCTAGTAGACATCACAAACACAATTACAATTTACTCACACCAAAAATACTGACTCAAAATGCATATATCATTGTAGCACATATGCACTTTTAAGGCTTCAAACATACTAACAGATACTATGATTCATTAATCAACATATTGCTTTCAGCCTTTAAGGAAATCATAATTAAAGCTTTAAAGCTTATCCTACATCTCATTAAAATAGAGCAAGGAATTTCCGGACTTATCTGAACAAACCTGAACTTTGACCAATAAATTGAGTTGCTTTGACTGAACCAACATGGGCTAATGAATCTAATATGTCCCTGTTAAAAATCAATGTGACAATGGAGAAGTCAATAACCTATAAGAAATTCAAGTGCAATAGAGAAAGCAACATAGGCAACCAAAATCCAAAGAAAAGTTCAAAATTCTTATTAAATATAGTTTTGTTCACCTGACACTCCCCCTAAAATTTGAAAAAATGATTACCCTTGATTTTGCTGGATCATTTGTTGCTGCAAAAAAAAAAAAAGCAAATTTTTTCATATAATATCCCCCATATTGATATACATTTGAAAAAGAAACAAGGAAACAACCATGAGCAGTCGAGGAGAGCGCTTAAGCAATAAAATAGCTTTTTATGCCAAATGGAAATCTTGCAAACCCCTTCCCCCCCTCCCACCAACCCTCTCCTAAAAAAATGTTACTAATATATTAATAATTAATCTCCTATAATAATTAAGAGTTAGTTTTCTAACTTTACACCACAAGCCTCCAAAGTCCAAACCTTTAATACTCAAAATTTGTTGACTCCCTTTTATTAATAAAAAATAATAATAATTAAAAATTCGATGATGTATACAAAAAATATATCCGGTGCATTAGCACCGGTATGTTCTAGTACAGAAGAAAAGATGAGAAAAGGCACTTAGTTTAAAGCACCCATGTCTCTTACTTCATTTATTATCATGAATAGATAAGAGCTGCTAAGCAACACAACAACAAACAAAAAAAAAAAGTGATTCATCCAAAATTTGACAGGACAGGATCTCATTCCTAGAACTATCACCTAACCCTTTTCTCTTCCCTCTCCTTTTAGAGAAATTTGATACATGCATGTAGGCAAATTTGAATGAGATAAGCATCTCTGGAGTTGCTTTCTAAGCTTTCAAGTCTGGAATGAAGAGCTTGAAAAGTTCTCTCAAATCTCAATATCTCATTCTTGCATTTATTACCCATCGTTGTTGTATCTTAATCCCTCTCTAACCCAAATAAAACTGAAAGCAGTTTTTTTTTTTGCTTTATACCTAAGAAGAATCAGCTGTCAAATTGATTTGCAGAACATCTCAAGAACAAGAGCTATATGCAAAACAGACAGAGTGAAGACATGTGTAAAAGCAATTGTGGAAAGTGCTTCTTGCTAACCAAAACACCTTACATTATGCAATCAATTGACTAATGATCTCTATTCTGTAAGAATTTACAGCACACGTCTTTATTTGAAGCACGCAGCTTTCCTACTTTACCAGAGGATGGATGCCACAAGGTGTGATCCATAAGCATCTTTTTACAGTTAGCTCGGTCCATTCTACACACTAATGCCAACACATGGTGATGCTAGAATCTAAATTTCTGTGTATCAAATAATGAAACAAAGCAGAGATACATACTGAAATGAATTTCTAAAATTTCTATCATTTTCGACAATTTTGGGCTGGGGGCACCATGAGACAGACTCTTCTGCATTAAAAGCTTTGCACTCTGAATGGCTTCATTTCTACTCATATGTCTTGCAAATTACCTGCCACAAGTCAATCAAACAACAGCATCTTCAAAGAACAAAGCTTCTGCCACCATTAAAATTTACGTGTTTGGAAAGAGGTAACAATTTTGATCTCAATTAAGTTAAAATTTCGAGCATCAAATCACTAAACAGTACATTAGACCAGTGTGTCAATAAAAAGAATGCTTGGTTAAAGGCAGTAACGACAACTGGCGAAGTAAAATTTGTAGCCTAATAAGAATATGTGGCTTATATTTTCCATGTAACATTGCTTGGTTTCTCCCAAAGCTACAGTTTCAGATATGAAGTCCAGTCTCCAATTTATAAAGACATGAACTACCATACAACTATCTACTGTGTGGACAACATAAATTGCGAGAGAGTTATACCCTTGTCGCAGCTTTTCTTCAAGCATCTCGTGTGCTGGTCTTATTCCATGGCTAGAGAGTAGCTTGCGTATGTGGTAGAGTGTAATAAGGATACCAAAGTAACCTTCTACTTCACTATACTTCACTTGCGGAAGTTCTGGCGGGGGTGCTTGTCGAAATTTATCCCTTGAATTCAGCAAATCACAAGGGCTCAACTGTTAAAGGGAAAATATTAAATAAGTAGCTCAGTGCCCAAGGAGAAAGGCAGAAAACAAGGGTGTCAATCCAAACAGATTAAAAATAAAAATACCTAAACAGAAGAATATCCAAATATAATAAATATACCTAAACACCACATAACCATGGGATTTCAATGTTTTTATTGTTTCTACTTAAAATAAGTGCTCTTGTTATGTTTGATCTTCAGCACACAAAGGTTTCAAAATGCTTAATTTATGCACTAGTAGGCTTAAAGCTTAATTGGTATAGGTGAAAATCAACTTATCATTGGTTAAAAGGGTGGGTGAGTGTAAGAAAAGGGGGAATAAAGTGAGAGATTGGAAAGGTGTAAATATTCTGGGGTGAAGGGGTATGACTGTATGAGAGAAGAATTATGTAGAAATGAGTATATCAGATAAATACACCTCAAAAAACATAAAATGGATACTCTTTGGAAACAGAAGGAGTACTAGATAATATACTTCATCAATTCCACACAAAGTTTTAGCACTAAAAAAAAATCTCCAATAGTTTAGTGGGTTACATGCTTACAATAGGTATTCTATATCATCTCACCACTTAACTTAATTTTCTCATTACCACATATATGAAGGTGGAAGGTGAGAGCGCGAGGGGGGGGGGGGACATACAGTTTGGAAGTCCCTGCCTGGTAGCACTCCCATTGCACAAAGCCTGGCAGCAAGTGGCCGTATAACCTCCACGAGAAGATTATGTATCTCATCAGCATCCTTTCCCATTGGAACCTACGTAGAGAGGGGCCAACTGTGAACGGGAATTTTAACCACACAAAATCAGTAGCATACCATATTACCATGTGCTTTCTAATACCTCAATTAGTTCAAGCTTCCTATGGTGCACGTAAGGGCATACATCAGCATCACTTTCATTGCGATATTCAAGCGTAGATATTTGCAGGTTATCAATTACCTGCTGAATAGTTTCCTTCTTTGCTGAAACCAACTCTATATGTTAACATTATGGAAGACCAACGGAATTTATAAGAGAAAAATGGATGGCAAACTTACAGCCAGGGGTAGCAGTCAAAGCTAATATTCTTATCTCAGCAGGAACTGCCATCAACTGTGAACAGAACAAATGCACCTAAGTGTCAAGTCAATGTTAATAATAATGTGCAAACGTACTGGACATAATCATAAATATACAGGAAACTTTAAGCAACCTCGCGAACAGACACACAGTAAGAGTAGTTCCCCATAGCACGATGAGCCTCGTCGATCACTAAGCACACCAGCGATTTCATAAGACAAGCCCCTGGTATTCATAACAAAATATTGTAACCAACAATGACAACCTCAAGAAAGTTAAACAAGCATACAACACAGTACAAAAAAAAAAAAAAAAAAAAAAAAAAGGGGAGCAAGAGTTGGTGCAAAATTATACAATGAAACTGCTTTTTGACAAGATTGTCCAAAATAATAGCACATTGAGGAAAGATTTTTGTGAAAACAGAAAATTAAAAAATTAAGAGAGAGAGAGAGAGAGATTGAATCGGAGAGCGATAAGACTGAAATAAATATCCCCAATTAACAATTGTCTAGCTTTAGCATCACTTTCTAGACAAATACGGATAGCAAAAAAATGCAAATGGAAAATAAATCTCATGAAATACTAGAAAAGCCAGCACCCTGTTCCTAGAGCACAAAAACTAGAGCTTGCCAAAAGAAAAAAAAAGTAAAAGATGTTTTTGTAACACACACCCAACCAACCCACCACCACCACAGGACCACCTAAAAACAAAGATGGGAAAAAAACACACAATCTTAACCCAATTGTTATCATAAATTTTAGATTCCATTTTTACAAGCAATACACAGGAGGTACATCACCTGACTGGATATCTTTTTCAAGCACTTGGGGTGTGACAAAAAATACACGTTTAGCTTTCCACAAGGATGCTCTTTTGGGGGGACTTATTAGACCTGTCATATCAATTGTCCATTCCTGCAATCACTTACATTTAATTCTTCTCAAAACATGTCTATATATGAAGCAACATGAACTTTCAGCAAAATTCTCAGGGCAAGTGCAAAAGAAAGCCACCAACTTACTTGTGGTATACCGACAATATTATGGCAGGCTTCTATTTGTTGCATAACCAAGGGTCTCGAAGGAGCAGCATAAACTATCTTACCTGCGATTGAAGAGGAAGTTAAGGTATCAATGTCACAAAAGCACATGAGGATTTTACGCAAAAAAAGAGAGTATATAACTTCCAAAAGGTTCAGGGTTCTTTTCTCTCAATAAGGCCATGCGGCAAAAGTGCTGAACCCAATGAGCATCACCTTCAGGGAACCATCTAAAGTAGTTATGCATAACAACAGCAGCTATGCATAATAAATTAGATAATGTGTTTGAAAATAAAGCTGTCCTGGCTATCTCAAGTTGATACTCACGACGAGGAACATTATCTGTAAAACAGATAAAGGAGATGGGATTCCATGAGCCAAACTATCTACAATTTTATGGTCTCACCTCACAAATATTAACTAAATTATTACACATAAAGATAACACAAACAGGAACTTTCCCTCTCCCGAAGTAAGAATAATCAGAGGAACCATTAGCCAAAGTACATACACGCTACGATTGTACATGTACCACAGTCAAAAAATCAACAACCAGGCATAGAGATAAACACTTAAATACTTCAATTTCAACCAAAACATTCATAATTAATAGAAGAATGGCTTATATAAATATTTCAAATATCCGAGTTTGATATTCAGCTGAATTCATAATACATGGGTATTTATGGTAGGAATATGTATAATAAAGATGCAGTGATCAAACCACACAATTGAAAAGTGAATTCAAAATATACAAAATTATGTACTACTATGCTAGACAAATTATCCGATTGTATTTCTTTTCCCCAATTTTCTAACCCTAACATTTCAACAATCAAGATTTTCCGAAAACCTACCTGGGTAAATCCAAGTTTTAGCAGCCTCAAGATCAACATCAACATAACACGCCCTTTCCTGAACCCTAATTTGCTCATCTTCAACTCGACATTCAATTTCATTCTCGACACCCGATTTCGAAGACCCATTACTAATAAATCTATCAAGCGTTAATTGACGGGAATTATTCTGAACTTTGTTAAATTGGTGATTCTTCCATAAATTATTGCCGCCAAAAGTAACATTGGAGGGTTGAGGAGGAGGCGGCGTTTCTAGGGTTTTAGCGGCGTTACTCTGACATGCAACATCGATTTCTCGAACTGCTGCTTCCCAATCGAAATCCTGCAAAATTGTTGGAAAAAATTGAATTGGGGATAAAATGAATGAAATTGAAAAAAGGGGAAGAAATATAGAGAAATTACCTCTTCATCGTCGTCGATGATTACTTTAACAGAAGAAGAAGCCATTGTTGTTTGCAGAAGATTCGGAAAATTTGAATTGGAGGAAGAAATTAAGGGGTGGAAAACGAAAAAGCTTGCTGAATATTTTGGAGAGGTGTTTGATTGAGTGATAGTGGGAGGAAATAATTAAATTGGCGGGCAAATATTTTTGGATTTCAAATAGCGTTTTTGATAATTTGATTACTCGTATTAACTATGAAAACCGAGGTCCCGTTTGGTTGACACGGAAAAAAAAAATTATAATATGTTTTATTTCTAATATTTATGCAATATTATAAGGCAAATGTTAACGAATATTTTGGAACACTTGGGAGTAAAGGGAAAGATAAGAGTCCTACGTACACTCACTTGGTATGATTTGAATCTGAGACTACTAGGATTTGAGTTTGACCCAACACTTTATAGTTTTTTATCGCTAAATATCCCTAATTTCGTAATGAATATTTTTTTAATGAAAATTAGATATTAATAAAATACTAACTATTACGAATCCAACAATACCCCACTTGATAGCAGTTTTTTCACCATATGCCCTCGATTTTTTACTTAATTCACCATGTACCTCTGAACTTTTATAAATACACCAAATACACATAAGTGTACACAAAAATCATCAAATACCCTTATGGCTACAAGATGAGCGAAGTTTGGTTGATTACACACCAGAATCATCATTAATCAATTTCCCACCTTGGAAACCACAAGCCCACTCCCTCTTCTTACCTCGGAAACTACCCTAAATCTATCTCTTCCTCCACCCACTCGCTTAATAATAGAATAGATTTTTGGATGTAGCCATGTAGGGAAAGGAGATATGGGGCAGTTTTGGGGGTGGGGGTAGGGAGGTAGGGTGATTTTGGGGGGCGAAGGAAGGGATTTGGGGTGGTTTAGGGACATAATTAACCCTAACAACTATTAGTTTTAAGGTATTTAATTCATTTTTAAAAAAACTGAAGGATATAGGGTGTATTAAAAAAATTCAGGGATATTCTAAAAAAAAAAACAGGGGTATACGATGAATAAGTGAAAATTAAGGGGTATTTGGTGAAAAACGTTTTTTTTATATATTATTATACATATGAAGTCAAAATTTAGTCAAATCAGATAATCAGATCTCATCAAATAAACTAAAGGATATTTTGGTTTTTAACACCTCACAAATGTCTAAAAATGGATATTAACACCCCCCAAAAAAAAACTTTTATTTTAACACCTCCAAAATTTTTAAAGTTTTGAAGTTACCACCAAAATCTTGTCTCCGTTAACGGAACTGTTAGTGGGTCCCACTCCAACGGATAGTTTTTTGATAACTCTCTATATATGCACGTTTTTTACACGATTCTCCCCCAATTTTCCCCGTTTGTAGCCAAATCTTTGTTCGAATTGAGTATTAAAAACCAAATCTCACCCAATCAGATCGCTTTGCATATCAGAAACGAAAACCAGAGAATCGTTGTTTGTTTTTTGAGAAGGGGAAGAAATTGAATCTGCTGAAACAGGTATGTGCGTTGATACGATGAAAACGAGTAATGTGTAATCAAATTTTGGGAATACTGTTCGTTTGTTTGGTAATTAAAGTTTAAATTGATGACGTTTACTATTTAGAATTGTGTTGGAATGGAATTGATGGTTGGATTGTGTTATGTTTGTATGTAACTGGCCAATTTAAAAATTAGGGTTCCTCACAAATTTAAATTGGGGCTTTTCGTGTTAGATAATTAAAAAATAAAATTGTTGGTGACAATGTTAATTCGTTAGTGTACAAATCCATAACTGTGATTGGTGATCTTAAATGAATGCAGATTATGTCGTTTGTTAGCTCTTCCCCTTCTAAGGAAAAAAAATGTCAGTGTGGTGTGCCCATGGCCAAGCTCACTAGCTGGACAAGAGAGAATCCAGGCAGGAAGTTCATATCTTGTAAGTTTTATGACCCAATCACAGAAACAAGGGGCTGCAAAGCTTTCGAATGGGTTGATCAACTTGATGGAACAGATTGGCAAACAGGGGTTATCAACAACCTGTTGTTGGATAAGAAGCTGCTAAAGGGTGAACTTAATGAATTGAAAAGGGAAGTTGATGAAATCAGTGGCCAAAGGAGGTGCCTACTTAATGAAGTTGATAGTTTGAAGATTAGATGCAAGGCCTTGAACGCTGACAGGAAGAGAATGAACAGGGAGGGCAATGCAGGGAAGATGTCTTCTAATGGTTTATCAATGAATAGGGTGGGCATGGCCATTTGTATTGGTTTATTAATGGTTGTAGTTTTTCTAATGGTTAGGGGTGTTTAATAGTAAGATGTATGTAGTATTTGGTAATTTGTTGTAATGACTTTGGTTTTAGTGTTATATATTTATGAAATCTTATGAGTTTTCTTGTAGTGTTACATATGTATCACTTGCATTTACTGTTAAAAATGAAAATGTTTAAAGTTGCACATAATAAGCAGGCTATGATAACTTCAAGTGGACAAAATAAAAGCTTGCAAATGTACATTACATTCAAAATGTAACAAAGTACTTCAAGTGCATGTTTGCACTAAAACCTTACTTGAAACTGTTTTAATGGCAATCAAAGCCATTCAAAAACTACAAGTTTATGTCCAACTGTTTAAATGGCAATCATGGCCATAAAAGAACTAAGTTGTTACAGTCAACAGAGAAACAGACATAATGTGTTATCATAGACATAATGTATTAGAAGAACTAAGTTGTTACAGTCAACAGAAACAGACAATCATGAGTACATCACTGGGTGAGGTTCAACTTGGAAAAGGTTTGCAGCTTGGCCCTTGTTACAACACCTGTTTGGGATGGTTGTTGTGCTGTTGGTGCAGGCTGGCTTGAGGAAACCTTTTTCTTTGATTTTGCTTGACTTGAGGAAGGCTGACTTGAGGAAGGCTGACTTGAGGCAGGCTGAGTTGAGTTAGGCTGACTTGAGCTTGGCTGCCTGGACTGTGATTGAGTTTTCTTGCTTAATGGCAGACAACCTTCTTGCTCCTGAGGAAACTTCCTGTTTGCTATGCTATTTGGTCATGCCCCAATTGCACTCTATGACATGGATGTTAAATTAAAAAGTTAGTATCAAATCAGACATATATCCAAAACACAAGGGATTTGGGGTTATGAGTGTGTTACCTTTTTTGCAGCCCTAGCCTCTTTTTTCTTCCTCTCCTCCATCAACCAAGGAGTGTTCAATGGGGGCCTACCAGCTGACTTCACCAGCTCTGTTGGTGGTATAGCTGGTAATTTGCATGTCTTGGCATAATGCCCAAATCCCCCACACTTGCTGCATTGCTTCTTCCTCTTTGTGCCTGTTGAAGCACCTGCAGTAGAACATTCTCCTGGCTCAAGCTTCCTTTTTTTGCTCTTAGGTCTCCCAGGCTGCACCTTAACAGCAGGAGGTAGTGGTTCCCTCATTTTGACTCTCTCCCAGTGCTTGGGACTAGGCATTGGTTGGACAGCAGGTTCATAAGCATCCCTGTAATACTCCATGGTATAGTATGGGTCAACATATGCCTCTATGTCACCCCTCATATCCATCATGCATGCATAAGCATGAACACAAGGAATGCCAGTGAGTTCCCAGTGGTAACATGTGCATGTCTCCTTGTCCAAATCAACCAACACTTGGTCATCCTTCAGCTGCACCTCAAATGTATTCCCTTTTAATGGTTGCACCACACATGACCTAGCCACAAAGTCTATCCTACCCAGAAGATGCCTCACATAAGGCACCAAGTTGCTGTTAATTTCTTTTGCATCCTCCCACTTCTCATTATTCCTGTTCATTATATACCTCCTCATCCATTCCATTTGGGTGAGGATAGGTTTATCTCTTGCAGGCCTAATCACTGCATTAAAAGTCTCACACATGTTGTTCAACAACATGTTGGACTTGCAGTTTGGTGTAAATGCATGTCTACACCAATGACTAGCAGGAATTTTGGCTAGATAATCATATGTCTCTTCATCAAGAAATTTGATAGACTCCATGGCAATTTCATGCTCAAACTGACAACATGCAATATTAGTTTAGAACAGCATGTATAAAGCAGGACATTTATAACAGATAAATACAAATGCAGAATCAGTTTACAAATGCAGAAACAAGTTCAGAACAGCATGTATAAAGCAGGACAAATATTCAAACAAATAATGCAGAAACAGAACCATGAACCAATATTCAAAGGACATTTATAACAGATAAAGACAAATGCAGAATCAGTTGTTTTATGCACCCAGATCTAACACCTCACAAATGTTTGAAACAAATGATGCAGAAACAAGAGCATGAACCAGTATTCAAACAATATAAGTAACCAGCCCTACCAATATTCAGGTAAAATGAAGCATATAAAAGCACTTACATAAGTTGTAGCCCTTGCAGCTCTCCAAAATAGCTCCTTGAAGGTTGAACCAGTGTAGTTGAGCTTGAAGTTTGCCCAAATATGCCTAACACAGAACCTTTGTTCTGCTTTGGGAATAACATCAGCCATTGCATTAATTAAACCCTACCAAATGTAGACAGTTAGCAAAGTCAAATGCCAAACACATGCATACACAAGGGAAAGTAAGCATTGAACCTAAATACCAAAAACAGAAACAGAAGCATACCTTCTGCCTATCAGACATGATGGTTAGCCCAGCTCCTTGGTCATGTGTGAACATTGCCATCAGGGATTCCAAGAACCAGCCCCAAGTTTCCTGGTTTTCAATCTCCACTGTAATTGCAATTAAGCAATCCAATTAACCTAAGTCGCATAGTCAATTGCAGAAATTAACCTAACACAGGCACAGTTTCTACTCTGTTGTCTAATTTGACCCTAATTTAGCCCAATATTGCAAATTTGACATTAAAAAAGCACCAGTAACAGACCTAATCGCTACCAAAAGACAAAAAACCAAAAAAAATACCTTCTTTGCTGTCAGATTCCCACCAACTGTCGCCCTTTTGTGGTTGACGAAGATTGTGACGACACCCTCCTGACCTAATCTTCGCCAATGTTGACAGCTCTGTCCTACACTCCACTCCTCAGCCACACAATTTAGGTTTCAATGCCAATTCAATGGTGGTCCAGAGAAATCAATGAATGAAGAAGTTGGTTGCGAATTCAATGAAGGAATACTGTTCGTGTTTTGGTGGGTGAAAAGTTAGAGGTAAAACCAAACTGTGGGACCCACTGCATTTTACCGTCACAGAAACCGTTAACTGGTGGTAACTTCAAAATTTTAAAAATTTTGGAGGTGTTAAAATAAAAGTTTTTTTTTGGGGGGTGTTAATATCCATTTTCAACATTTGTGAGGTGTTAAAAACCAAAATATCCTAAACTAAAATAAGATGAACCAAGCAAGCCATAAGTATGTAAATAAAAAAAAAAAAAAAAAACCGAAGTAGTAATTCACAAGTATAGAGAGGGATTAAAGAAAAAACATTGCATCACACGGGTCATTACGTTTTGAGTAAGTGAAACGCTAAACATCGCCCGCAATTTACCATATAAAGCCCACAAATATGTTATGATTTGACCATTATGCCCTTTTGCTAAAATTGAGATAATCTCGGTGTAAAAAATGTGGAGCCGTACTGGCTCGCCGCGGGAGACCGGATGGCAGGCCGGAGATGCGGGGGACGCTGGAGGTACGTCGTCGTCGACGGAAAACGAGGTAAGTCACCGCTAAAATTCACGGTTTACCGTCGTAGTGGTCCGGCGCCTAGGGTGGACGCCCAAACCGTAGCCTGGACGTCCAAGCCGGACGCCAGAACCACCGGAGTGGCGTCCAGGCTAGACGCCCAGACCACCAGAGTGGCGTCCAGCCCAGACGCCCAGACCACCAGACTGGCGTCCTGGGCAGACGCCACTCCACTGGGTGAGGCGGCCCTGCCAGGCGCCAGTCCAGTGGCTGTGGCAGCCCTGGCAGACGCCACCTTTAATAATTAATTTTTATTTTTTCCTTTTTGATTTTGTTGTTGTTTTTTATTAAATTTTTTTGTGAAAATAAAAAATCGAAAATGATTTTTTAAAAAAATTCGAAATGGGTTTTTTGTAAATTAAATTTGAAAATTCGAAATAGGTTTTTTTAAAATTAAATTTGAAAATTCGAAATGGTATATTTTTAAATTTAGTTTGAAAATTCGAATTGGGTTTTTATAAAAATTAAGTTTGATTATATATAATTATGTTTTTTTTGTGTTAATTATGTGGAAATATAGAAATTAAATGTATTATCCGTTAAATGTATTTATTGTAATATATAATTGATGCAGGAATATGGTGGAGACGGAAATGATTACAGTGAGATATTTGGACATGATGGTCCATTCGAAGAAGCTCAACAGGCGATTGATTGGGCAAAACAGGTTGCAATTGCAGCTGGATTTTGCTTGGTAGTAGCAACTCATAAATCTCAACGGGATGGTAGAATGGATCGCATTTTGAGATGTGACCGTTATCGCAAAAGAGAAGAAAGAGATTTTCGTACAGCCACTCGGTTTGACACAAAGCGGAAAGGTTGTGGGTGTGAGTTCAGAGTAAAGGTTCGACAACTACGGAGTCGTGACGGTTGGGAAGTGATAGGTTACTCTAAATGGGGGTATCACAACCATGAGATGATAGTATATGAAGAGGGTCATCGACAACTGAGCGGCTTAAGTCCTGCTGCGAAACTAGTTGTGAAAGAAATGAGTGATGCTCAAGTGAAGCCTGCTAAAATATTAGCATCTGTGTTAGAGAAATTTCCAGAAGACCATCCAAACCGAAGACACATCTACAACGTCAGACAGCAACTCAGGTTTGAACGGTAAGAGGGAAGGAACCCTATACAGCAGCTGCTACACCAGGCACAATCACGTGGTTACCTGTTCTGGTTTGATTCTGATGAAGATACAGCGGAGGTGACTCATCTTTTCCTTGTGCATCCTGATTGTGCTGATATGATCAAGTCTTGGCCATTTGTGATTTTGATCGACTCAACGTACAAGACAAACAAGTACAAGTTCCCTCTGGTTGAGATGGTTGGGATGGCTCCAACGAACCAGAACTTTCTGATTGGTCATGCAATCATCAGGGATGAGACGGCTCCAAGTTATTATTGGGTTTTGGAGAAGCTGAGAAACTACATCGGGCCTAATGTTCATCCAGCAGCCATCGTCAGCGACTGTGAGGGAGGTCTCTTTGCCCCCATAGCAGAGCTGTTTCCCGAATCGAACCACTTATTGTGCACATGGCACATCAACAACTGCGTGAAAGTGAAAGCCTACAACCTTTTCAAGAAGAATTTGGAAATGGCAGAGAGATTGGTGAATGGTAAGTGGCGGAAGATCCTACAGGCTACCACAGAGGAAGCGTATGAGCGAGCATTGGCTAACTTCAGGGATTCGTACCAGTGGTGTCCGGCACTGGTGGACTATGTGATGCATCAATGGGTCCCTCACAGGGAAAAGTTTGTCAAATATTGGACAAACCACTGGTACGAATCCCTGAAGTTAGCCAATGCCCTCGACCGTTTCCTGCTTGCCCCAGATACAGTGGACGCAGATGATGTGTCAGATCTACTAACAAACCTACCACCCCTACCCTTACGCACCTCCACCATATGCGTCTCATACATGTCATCAACCCTCTGACTGAATGGACCGTAATCATCATACGGTCCACTGCCATCGTCCACATCCTCATCCTCATCTGCGCCCTCCTCCTGCTCCTCCTCCTGGTCACCCTCCTCAGCATCATCATCGTCATCGTCATCCTCATCCCGACGGTGGATCCGTTCTCTACGAACTGAGGCCGAAATACCACGGGATCTGACATGTCTATGCCCCGACCTCTCCACTGAATAACTTCTACTAAGAAGCTCTATATTCTTCCCCACCATGACGACCCTACACAAAATTTTAAAATATATAAACATACAAAAATTTATACGATAAATAATCATCATCGCAAATCAAATAAACTAAAAACATACAAATAATTGTAAACAAAATATAAACGTAGAAAAAATACAACGAAATTGAAAAAATTTATAAAATAAACAACAAAATATAAAAACAATTCAAATTTATATTACAAAAAAAAAAAAAAATTAAAAACAATTTTTTTAAAAAATTAAAAAAAAAAATAAAAAAAAAAATGGGGGGGGGGGCGCCTTGGCTGGACGCCCAGCCGGCAGTGGTGGCGCCAGATGCAGACGCCGCCACCAGTTGGCTGGCGCCTGGGCTGGACGCCAAAGCCACGGCTGCGGCGCCTAGAATAAACGCCACAACCGTGGCGGTGGCGTCCAGCCCAGGCGCCAGCCAACTGGTGGCGGCGTCTGCATCTGGCGCCACCACCGCTGGCTGGACGTCCAGCCAGGGCGCCCCACCGCGTTCACGGCGGTTTTCCCCTTTTTTTTTTTTTTTTTAAACAAAATATACCTTTCCTCCTTGGGACATCCTTCCCTCCGCCGCCGCCGCCACTTCCTTGCCTTGTCGCCTCGACATTGCCGTTATTTTGAATTTTTTTTTTAGAGAGGTTGAAAGAAGATGAGCAATGAGAGTGTGAGTGATGAGAGTGTGAGTGATGAGAGTGTGAGTGTTTTTTTTTTAAGGTCAAGGGCAATTTTGGCAAACCAAGTGAATTTTGTGGGCTTTATGTAGTAATTTGTGGGCGATGTTTAACAAATCCCTTGAGTAAATGGTCCGTGACTATAAATATATTACTGGGTGATACAATTCAGTGGGCTGCCGGAGAGAGAAGCGGAAAGTGTGCGATAAAGAATGGAAGCAGTGGTGGTTGACGCAGGATCCAAGCTCCTCAAAGCTGGCTTCGCCATTCCCGATCAACCTCCTCCTGTCGTATGTTTTTCATCTTCCCCCTTTTCTTTTCACTGTCCATTTTCTAATCAGATTTTTCCTATTCCCCACCAAAAACTATAACTTTTGATGTTATAAATTCACGCTAATTTTTATGGGGTTGAAGCTAAATTACACTAATTTAAACTTTTTATGGGATACTGACAAATTTCTGATTAATCAATGTGGGCCATCTTAATTCCCTCTTACATTGGCTTAAAATTATGTCATTTTTTGGGAGTGGCCCACTATTTTTAATCAAGATTTGGGATTGAATTGAAATTTGTGTTCTTTACTTAATTTGAAGGACCAAAATCCCATTTTTGCTCTTGGAATTTACCTCATTAATTGTTAATTCGAGCTGGGTACTATAGTATTTGGAAGAAGATGGTTTCCATCTGGGTTCTGAAGAAGGGTTTTGAATGTGTAAACTTTGTACTTCTTTTAATTTTAGAGCTTCTTTGCATTATCAGATTGATAAATTTTAATGGAATTATAGGGAATTAGGGTCTCACTTATGACATTGATGTAGACAGTATTTGATTGTCTTAAGTACCACCCCACGACTTTAATCAACTAAACTAGTTGGCATTTACATTATGAGAATTAGAGTAATTGAATAAGAAGCAAACAATACGCTACTGAAATCGGGAGCATGTAATCTCAATTAACTAAACATTGGTGTCATCAAATGTTTCACCATTGTGTATCTTAGTGAGATTCATTCTAATTTCTATATTGTGTTTCAGATCATTCCTACACAAATGAAATGTGTGCCAGAAGAGGAATCGTTAAATGGTTTGGCTTTGGCCGAGGACGTCACTGTTGATCCTATTGTTCGTGGTTTTGTCAGTGATTGGGATGCCATGGAAGATTTATTGCACCATCTTGTGTATTCAAGCCTTGGATGGGAAATTGGCAACGAAGGCCATATTTTATTTGCTGACCCGCTGTTAACTCCCAAGGTTATTGCAAATCTAATTGTACAATATTATGTCTTAACATTTCTTATAGGTGGAATTCGAACTCTCTTCCTCCTTACCACGTGTCTTTTTCCACATTTATGAAATCTCAATATTCTCAAACTGTTTGAAAGATTGAGACCAAACTGTACTAGTCAATGTATCTGCTACTGCATATAATTCTTTGACTATGCTGCTATTTTTCATGCGTTAATTCTCTGAATTTGCTGGAGGAGAAGGTGAAATTTGACTACCTGTTGAGATTTGGAATGGGATTGAGTCAGTGAGTTCCCTTAGTGTGCATGGCTAATTGATAGAAGAATCTCTTGTCTTAACCTTTTTAATCAATTTTTTTGCTTATTTTTGTAGCTTAACTCAAAAAGGGCTCATTCAATATAACTATTGCCTGTGTTTTTATGTATTCTTACTTCCCACTGCTAATGTCTGTTGATTACAGGCTGTAAGAGAACGACTGGTCCAACTGATGTTTGAAAAATTCAACGTGTCAGGATTTTATGCTGCTGAGCAAGCTGTATTGTCACTCTATGCAGCTGGGCGTATTTCTGGTTGCACTGTTGATATTGGTCATGGCAAGATAGGTGCGCTCAAGTGCTCTTTGTTATTGGTAGCAAAGCTCTTTACTTTGTACTCTTAATATCATTCATCGATTGTGGGGTACTTCAGTACGTTGCTCATGATTTATTGGACTTTTGGCTCTTTGCTAATACTCACTGACAATATTATGCATGTATGCGTGTCTTTATGTTTATAATATCCTGATATGGATGTATGGCTTGTGTTTGCATCTATATATGTTCGTGGGTGTGTGTACATGTTCATGCATATGTGGCTGTAAGCATGCGTAAATATCGTTGTAAGCAGTAGATTTAGCTGATGGAAGCTTTGGTTTTGCATGATTGGCAGATATTGCTCCTGTTATTGAAGGAGCGGTTCATCATATTGCCTCAAGAAGATTTGAAATTGGGGGTGCTGATTTAACCAAGCTGCTTGCCGAGGAACTTGGGAAGTCTAATCCACTGGTGAATCTCCGTATTCAAGATGTGGAGAAACTTAAAGAGCAATATGCAAGCTGTGCTGAAGATGAACTTGCCTATGAAAAAATCCAGCAATCATGCCCCAATGAACAGCATATTCTGCCTGATGGTCAGGTTTGTATCTGTTCATTTTGTTTGCGATCCTTTTGGACTACTAGAACCTGTTTAATTCTTGATGCTACATCTAAAATTGTGCTGTTTGGTGTACCCTGCTATGCATTACTTGGTTTAGATTTACATTGGTGTTTCATAGGGAGTATGCTCATTTCCAATGGATTGTTTCATACTATTTCTTCAAATTTCACATTTCTTTTTTGTTGGTCAACTTTTATAAAAGTGTGGCGTCCTTTCTCAAGATATGATATGACTTGAAATTTAGATATCATAGAATATGATCGGAATGAATTTCTACTTGCATTTGAAATACATTTTTCTGGGATTGATTGTGTAAATTGATTGAATATCTTATATTCTTATAGGTAATCAAAATTGGACAAGAAAGATATGCTGTGGGTGAAGCTCTCTTCCAGCCTTCTTTATTGGGTTTAGAGGCACATGGAATTGTTGAGCAACTTGTTCGTTGTATATCTACTGTATCATCAGAGAATCATCGGCAGTTGCTGGAGAGCACTGTACTATGTGGTGCCGCATCCTCTATGACAGGTAATTACCACTTGCCTTAACTCTTCATATATATTTTTGCTTTGCTAAAAGCATGCTGATGCAGCAACTTTATGCAAGGCCTCATTATTGTGTTTTAGTTAAGAAATTAGTATTTGTTGCTGTGTATGATTTAAATTTGAGTATGTCTATAGATGTCTACACCTTCAATTAAAAGTATAAAATCTTGCCACAGAAGGTATGTAGCAACTAAAAATAGAGGAGCATAAGGATAGAATAGATAACCAGTGAATTGAGAACTTTATTTTGCCTTTGTTCTATCTTGTACTTTGTGAGTAAAGGTGGGAGATCTGTGTTGTAATTGTATTTAATGGTGATTTAATTGCATTGATAATACAACCACATATCAATTTCCCCCAAAATTCTCCTCTTCTTCCTTAATTCTATTTTTCTGTTTTTCCTGTCTATTAAAATTTGGGATGCCCAAGAAAGTAATCCATAGCAACAATTTTGGGACACAGGAAGTAGGTCTTTTAAAAACCACTCATACAAATTTTTGTTTGTTGATGTGATTATTGAGAAATGAGAACTCTATCATGGTAGTGTTAAAATTCTTTCCAAAAATATGGATCTGCATATACTGCTAGAACTAGGCACTAGGTGTTTCACGTCTTATAACTTTCTATCTGGGAGCCCCTGTAATGGACTTTAGATGTCCTACGAAAGCTAATAGAAATTTCCAGGGTCTGTTATTGCTTCTGCTGATCCGATTTATCCTTGTTACTGCAGGTTTTGAGAGTAGGTTCCAGAAAGAAGCTAATATGAGCACATCAGCTATTCATCCTTCGGTGGTGAAGGTAATTCATTCCTTTTTCATTTTGAATCTGTGTACTCTGACCTATATTGTATGTCTTGTATTATTAACACTATTTCTCCATTTGGGAACCTTCATTTAACGTTGCTTTATTGTTTTGAATTCTTCATCCAAATACAGCCTCCAGAATACATGCCAGAGAATTTAGCCCAATACTCAGCATGGGTAGGCGGCGCAATACTTGCCAAAGTTGTCTTCCCTCAGAATCAACATGTAACCAAGGCAGACTACGATGAACATGGACCTGCTGTTGTTCACAGAAAATGTTTCTGATAGATGCCTGCTCCTGCTTCAGTTTACTAACACTAACAAAGGCAATTGAGACTCTAAGTGATTGGATATTGGAGTCCACTCACAATGGTGAGAGGAAAACCCATGCGAGTGAACTCTTGAATCAACTCACTGGGATGGGTTTAACGTAACGTCGTAACTGCTGAACTTTGCCGCAACTAGGAAGATGGTTGGTAAGGACCGAATTATAGTGTTATTAGAAATTTAGAACACTCGATTATACCTTATTTACTACTTATTTTCGGCATTTGGAAGTTCTGTGATCTATGTAGATTGTTTAATATCCTATGATGAATCATTCCTTGATATGTAAGGTGATTAACATAATTTCCTTTCCCCCTTTGATTTTAAGGCCAAATATCCATTAGCATTCTAGTGAAACGGAATGTAGAAGATGTGGAGGATCGCTTATACCACTTAGGAAATTAAAGTTTACATACGGGGTATGTCAAATTCATTCTAGACCCTCTTAAATCAAATTGTTTAATAGAATTTTGTGGTGTTACTTTGTCCAAGGTCATATAATTAGGCCAAATATGTAAATATAATTCTGCGAGCTAGGGTTGTAGGATGCAACATCTCATTTGGTGCCAAAAATTTATGTGCAAGAGATCGATTTCCTCGTCCGATTAATGAGATTAGGAAGAAGTTTGTGGATGGGGGCTCATATGAGGAATTTTTAGATAACCTCAACTAATAGCACATTTGAATGCAAGTTTTCGCTACAAGCTGTTGAAATGAAATTTATTGTGACTAGACAATTATTCTCAGCTTAAAAATGAAGCCAAGCACACAACATACTTTATACAATAGTAACATAATAAATCATCCTTTTAAATAATACAATGTACTAGGAGAATAATTACACAAGTAAATATATAATAGCACTTAACTCGAATATGTTCTCCTTCCCTCAGAATCTGAACTACTGTAAATTAGGTTTGTAGGAGATCTTCAATGATTTGCACAGGCAAATGGACACGGGCTATACCTAAAACTAATTAACAAACTGAAGCTTGTAGAACCACAAGAGCTATACATACAGAAAAAGATAAGGGTCTAGAGCATTTACTCAAGGGCCGCGTTGCTGGGAGCAACAGTTTTTGGAGGGTGTAAACTGAGCTTGGAAAGCTGAGAATCAACGTCATTATAACTCTTGCCACGACGATGAACTGCAGGATTCTGCTTCTGTCGTGGTCGTTGCTGATTATGGCTCAAATTTCGCTGGAGCTGGTACAAGTACTGAAGCCTAGCAAGTTCTTTGTCTAAGATTTCCTGTTCCACTGAAACATGATTTTGTATTATTGTTATTCCATTGATGCAGAAAATATTAATCATCGTACTTTAGAACCAAGCAGATGAAGTAAATTAGTGACATATTACTCACTTGATTTTATGTAATGCTCCTGCGACAAACTCTCTAACCGTTGTTTTAATGCTCTATTCTCCATACCAAGTATAAGATTTTGCTGGTCGAGGAATTCTAGCTGCGCTGATACTTCAGCTCCTGCTGCCTGCATTAGGAGATGTATACTATGTATGAGGTGTATTATGAGATCTTGCACAATGCTCTATTCTAATACTATGTTACTCAGACTTTGGTACTCATTACTGTACTTCAATAGTTATGTCAGACAGGGGTAATGTGCAGGGAAAAGAAAAGAGTACCTGCAAAACTTGGGCATTTCTCTCCAATTCTGCAATATATTGAAGCTTCCTGACACGTGACCTTCGAGCATTATGCCTACATCATTTTAGCAAACCTGAGAACTTGATTGAATGTTTATACTTAGGCAATCCTTCAATAGAGAAATCATTGTTACTGATATGATGAAGGAACTAAGTCTTACTGTCTACGTTTTGCATCAGTATTCAACGTGGCAGGTGGTTTCAAGTGAGAGCAGTCGCTTCCTCCACCAGATGAATTTTCCATTTCTGGTTTACTCCCTACAGATTTTATAATATCTGGTTCAGGTGAACAAGACATACCTAAGGCTTGACAATCAGCATCTTCCTTAGCATTTATGAGGCCATTTGGTAATGATGGAGGAGTAGAAGTTGAGGGTGATTTCCCCAACTTATCTTGCTGTTGCTTATTACTTGTAATCGCAGAATTTGACTTCTCGGTGTTAAATGAAGCTTGAGGAATCCCATTGAAATTGTGGGGCATTTGGTTACTACAAGAAAGTGCCCCAATAATGTTCCTCAACCATAACTCATCCGCGCTATTATCTACAGCAAAGTATGCAGAAGAGTCACTTGCAGAACGTCGATGAGTTCTATTAATCGGACTCTCTGGCTCATTTAGGAGATCCTCAAGCCAAGGTGGTGGCTCCTCATACAAAATATCTGTGAAACAAGATTTTGGCACATTGTCCTGTTTTTCAGAGGATATTGGACCACAGTATAGAGCTTGAGAAGGACCTTTCGGAGGAAGAGACATTGGACCCCTGCACGGGCCGCTTTGGATGTCTGAGAACCCTTCTGGGGTGTTTGCCATACATTCAGCAAGCATTTTTTTGTTTTTCCTGAGAAGGGATCATGTAGTTTATAAATCCAAACAACCAAATCCAAATTTCACTAAATTAAAAAGTACATTCAAACATATACATCTAAAATGAAAATTTTGAATAATGATATCACCTTTTACAGGTTCTCAGAGGAATTTGAATTCTGAAGATTCTTAAAAGATTGATATAGGTGTAAGGAACTATCAACTATGGATGCTTGCCTACCTTGAGAGCACCCTACGTACGTGTCTTCACTGTAGACATATCTTGGTTAGAAACTGCAATAAAGAAACAAGTCTGGCATCAAAAAAAAGTTTTAGCAGATGAAAACTCCTTTTCCTTTCCATATTTTGTCACTCAAATGTCGCGTTGAATCTGTTTCATAAGTCAAGTCCATAACATGCAAGGCGCATTTAGACAAAGAGTATTGTTTTATCACTACAACAGTATGTATCTAGAATGGCGATGTCATGAACACAAAAATCAGAACACAACCAAATACGGCAATTTAATTAAAAGGGAAACTACCCGGAATGCCAGTTGGCTGTTGCAAACTAAAGTCCTAATTCAATAGAAATCTTTCCATATTCAGAAATCTGCAGCAAATCTAATACTTCTATCTTCGCTAATAATTTCCAAAATTCTGATAACTTTCTTAATGAAAAATTTCCCATTGTATTTGGGTTCGCTTACATTCTTGGCCTTTAGACATCATCTTCTGTTCATCTGTTGCATCAACTAACATTGTTATGATTTTACATTGCCTATTACATTAATCATGCATGTTTAATTTTAATATATTTGAAAGAATTCGAGATTGTACAAGATGTCAGATCACAAAAGAGGAAGATGTCTCTTTGTAGTTAAGTTTGAGATATTGAAATCTAACCATTAAATAATACAAGTACAGTACATGCCTAAAAAATTAAACATAATTAAAGACCTCGTAAAATGCAAATGAGAAGAACTTTAAGGAATGGAGAAATCACATTGTTTGACATAGTTATACCAGAGAGCAGAATGACGGGAATGTCACGGTGCTTCTGGCGGCAGATGATCTCTTCTTGCACATCGCCGTGACCTCCCTATATTGCCATTGTTATAAGAAGAATTATAGGAAAATGAAAAGCCAAGGAAAAACAAAAAGAACAAAAAATATCTGAAGAATTTAGGTTAATGAGAAAGCAAGAAAGGGGCGCTTTCCCCGCAATGAAAGCAAAAAGCTGTTAATGTGATCCACCATTTTCGTTTTATAGATTTCCCTCATATTTTGTTGAGTGCATTCTAAGTTTTAGATAGATTTGAGGTGTATAATTAAGCTACAGAATAGCCATTGCCTATTGTCTTTATCTTCAATGACGATTGTTAACTAACTTTATTGGTAAAACCGTAAAAATGTGAGGATAATATCAAAGTTGTAAAAATAAAACTTTGTTTACAACATTGCTCCGTATAACTCTTTACAAGCAAAAATACATACGTGAATCTTTAAATACACTTCAGTCTATAATCTTATTGAATAAAGTGGATGTCTATTAGATAGTTGGTTTAGATCTTATTCACATTAATGTCAATGATAAATAAAAGCAATGAGGTAGTAATTGTTAGATACACATGTGAATGATGTGATTAATATTCATTTATCATACCTTTTCCCTTAAGTTAGTACTTTTCTTAAAGATGAAATTTAGATAATTTACAGAAATCACTCTGATACATAAAAACTCCAAGGAGTTGTATTATCAAAAGAAAAAGATTATTTCTTCATTGCACATTTGCCTTCTACATTTGATTGTAAAATTCAACAAGATGTATATCGATAACCAATGAAAAAAATCAGATCAATATTATGGTAACAACTTTACAAAGTAGCAGTGAAGTGGAACAAGTGTAGGATTGTTTCCCTAGCCAAGGCTAAGACTATCACAAGTCCACTGCTCTCCCAAATGCAAATTCCAAATTCCCACTTAAATCAGCATCGGGATTTTGAGACTATAAACAACGATCATTTATTCCTAAATCTAATGCTTCTCCATTTTACTGCTGGTTAACACCCGATGCAGATGGAAAGCTTCACCTTGATCTCCGTTTAAAGATCGTCTTTCCAAGCAGCAAGCAGATAGCTGCCTTAGCAACTTTTCAAGCTGCGAATGCAAGCAACTCAACGAATCTTTCAGGCCAGGATTAGTTGACAAGATCATGGCATTCACTGCGTCAGCAACAGCTTCTCGTTGTGATTCTTTGAGAAGATGTCCAACCGGGGAATTCAAGGGTTCTTCATAGGCCAACAGGGCAACACATTCCTAAAGAAAATTGAAAATCTAAGAATCTCAGACAATTCAGAGATCAAAACAGCAGAAGCATAATAGCTGAAGAAAGACTCTTCTGAGTCTTAAAACTTAAAAGAAGACAGAAGTACACATACAACAGATTTGTCCAAAATGACCCATGAATTCTCAGCCTCTCAGGAGGTAGGTAAGTGGAAATTTAATAGTGCAGGAAAGTAATAAGCATGCAATTACTACATGACTCCATCATATTCCGTATTTTAAAAGGCTAAGCATATCAAAGATTAATACCACATGAATAAATAAGTATCAAATTTCAAAACAGAGAGTTACCCGAACAAGTTCCTTATATTCTTCTTGACCAAAAAATTTGGCCAGCTCCACCCTTCCGTATTTGACAGCATCTTCCAGCTTCCCAGCCTACATTGCAAAGTTGGACATCACATAAGAATGCATTGGCAGAAGGTATTTTTAACTATTCAGAACAGGCCGCCGGAGGAGGGAGTTTAATATTGCAAGATGATTTTATGCAAACAGCTACGAGCATAATGATTAATAAACAGAAGAGAAGACATACCCGCACCAATTCTATGAACTTTTGAGAATGAAGCAGAAAACAAATGGGAGAGTTGTCATCCTGCAATAGGAAAATATTAACCAGAAACCAATTAGAATCTGATATGTATTCAAACAGAGCAACAGGAAGTTCTGTGCATGCAAAGGATTTGCAAACAGCCAAACATGTACTACATCTGTTTCGAAATCATGGTTACACTTTCCTAATTTGGCTGTTTCCCAATTTATGACATGTGACCCACACATATTTTATTCATTTCCTTACCCTAATTATACATATCATTACACTTTTGGGTCCGCAACTTATTTTGTTTTCGTGATTGTTTTCCATTCAACTTTACGCATTCCTCTCTTACTATACATTTCCTTGGTTATAACGAAAAGTGAAGTACAATTGTTAATTAAAACAGAGGGAGGAAGATACACGTCTTTCCTCTTAAGGATATTGAAGAGCGGAAAGAAAACAAGGAGATGCATAATATATTACTTTCTGGGAGGGGAGTAGAGTAGAGAAGAGTAAACTTACAAGAGTACAATAAGGAATTAAACCATAACAGGATTCAAATGCTAAACTATGAAACTCAGACAACTCACCAGGATAGTCTGAGGATACCAGTCACGAAGTTTACCAAATGCAGCATCAATCTTTCCCGTTCTGATCAACTTCATAACCGAGATGAACATATCAATACCAAGACTTAAAGAGTCTCTGACAACAAATTGGACTCTAAAAAAAATGACAACTAATAAAACAACCAAACAAGGTGATTCTTCTGGTAAAGAAATCCCACTTTTTCAACAGATTAAGCAAGAACAGATGAAATGTACAGTATTTTTGTTTTTGAATATATATAGTACTCCGTAATAGATTTGTATAAATGTGGATTCTGTCAAAGCCAAAACATTCTAAATTTGAGGTGTTGCAAGTATACTATCTAATCTATAGAGCACAGTAAAACCAGGAGTCACATTTTAGAACCAAACACTAGATAGGCATTATGTCTAGAGATACAAAAGGTCGAGCTGAACAAATAATTTAGAATGTGCTCAGAATTGGCTGATCAAAATAGACAGATTTGTTGAAATGATACCTGGCGAAGAGTCTTCCTCTGGCTGAGTGCATACATGTCGTCTTGCTCAATAAATCCATTTTGTTGAGATAAACTGATGGGTGGAACTGAATTACTAGTGGCCATGTCAAACACATTAAGTGTGTCTTCATAGCCATAGTGTAGCAAGTACGAGCGAACAATTCTGGTATTCCATAACCACACATTAGACAAAGATCTAACATTGAACACATACGTCATGATACACAAGGCATCATATTCTTTTAATGCCATGGGAAATATAATCATAGAAGCAGAAAATTTAAGTTGATAACTGTCAAATCTATAGCAAGACAATCTACAAGACAGGTCTGAAGGCGGGACTGATCTATCTCACTAAAGCTTTGCAGAAGCCATACAATATGACACAAAAGACAGTCATCAGATAAGCAGTAAGCCATACATCATACAAGCACTTACAGAATTTATGTATTTTCTATTTTAAAAAGGCTATAGCTAGTCAAAGCCAAACACAACATGCTTAACAAAGATTCTGTTTATGACAGTTCCTTGAATAAAATCAATAACTTACCCATAACTAACATTCTGCGGCAGAGATATCTTTTCGATCATGCTTTGCTGCTTCAACCTTTCCTGTGCTTCATAAGCCTAATGAATGGAATACAAATGAGTAAAAAATTATAATGTACAGAAAGGCTACAAAGAACAGACATACAGATGAAGATTTTTATGTGTTCATATGGGGAGCATCATATGTACAAACACTAACAAGAAGTCCAAAGCATCAATCTATTTTATATTATATTATATTACAAAAATAGTAATCTATAATATTATATTACAAAAATAAGGATAAAAAAAAGTAATCAATCTATTTCAAGTAACAAAATAAAGGTTTTTGGAAAAGGTCAAGTGAGAAAGCTAAATTACTGAGTAGCCATCTCTGGCACAGTCTAGACATTCTTTAGATTTAAAATTTAAAGGGAAACTAATAAGCATGTGCACAATAACTGAATCCAGTAAGAGAAACATTACGGAGTATAAAAAATAACGTCAGAGAAGACTTGCCTTGATATCAAAGAGAAAAGGTTCTTTCCCAAAGTTCACAGTAACCCTGCACAGTTTGAAAAAATTAATATTGTCATGCACTCCATTATCAGAACTCAAAATTTCCACAGTTCAGTTTTCTAACTCCGCCCTAAACCACCCCCCACAAAAA